TCTGACACGGTGTTGGGAACTCTGGAGACTGGACTGGATCTGATGAAAGGTACCAATGGAGCTGTTGAATCCCTGATGGTGTTCGTTGACGATGCCTTTCAGAGCGTTCTGCAGCTGATCGTGTGTTTGCTGGAACTGACCAGCCTGATTTGCCAGGCCGAGCGAACTCGAATCCATGAGCTTCAGGGCGACTTCGATAGGGACGCATTGGTCCTTGGTCATGAACTCCCAGTTTTGTTGTATGTATTGGAGAACCTCCTCGATCGCCTGGCTGCCTTGTCCATTATTTGCGTTCCTGGGCCGGCTCCCGTTCTGTCGCTCTCCGCTACGGCGTTTCGCTGGGCTGCGTTCAATGCTGGTAGGCCGTGTGACTTGACGAGGGCTCTCGTCACGCCCTGCAAAGCCGCCTCCACCATAGCCCCCAGGCCGGCGCTCGCGGTCGGCGCTGGGTCTTCTTTCCATGTCATCTTCCTGAGCAAGGCCGCCATAGCCACCAGGTCGTCGGGGACGTTCGCGCTCGTTGCTCGGTCGTGGTGCATAGTCGTCCTGCTGCGCGCTCATGCCACCGTATCCGCCCGGTCTTCGTGGTCGCTCACCACTCGGTCGGTCGTCGTAGCTGCCGTCACCGCCCGCGTATCCATTATATCCTCCGCCAGCGTAGTTGCCGTTGCCATTGGCATAGCCTCCATTGGCTCCCGCCCGCGAGTAGCCTGGATTGCGCGACATGGTGCACTCAGATGTCGCGCAGTGTTGTGTTCCTTATGTTCCTGGTCCTTACATTCATGGCGCGCAATAGTGAGGTTTGCGCGTCATCGGGTATCTATGTGGTGCATGTGTACTGTTGCGGGGAGCTCGGGGGTGTTGGAGTAGCAGGGATCACAGAAGTCGCGAATGTCAATGCAATGGAAAGGGAAGGACCGAAGATGAACTGGACGGCACAACGCAAGGTGCGCAGGCGATTATTATGTCAAATTTCTTTCACATGATACATGACATGATATGATGTAGTCTAGTTGTGCAGCTAAATTCTACATAGAAAGCGTTTCCACGGTTGCTGCCGTCAAGCATCAACGTCGCGCCAAGGCTCCCATTCCGCACGTTTCGCCGTTCCGCGCTCCCTGGAAGCTCTCACTCGCGATTCTTTATCCAACCACCAACGCAGGCACGAATCAGCCTCGCGCCTTTACCTCTTCACGCCTTCCCCCCTGCTATGTCGCGCTGATCCCGTCTCCGCCCCCGAATCAATCGCGAAACCATCTCCCCCGACCGCGACTTGTCCGCAAACATGGCTGCAGTTTACGCCAATGGCGCGAATGGCGTGAACGGCGCTGGCAGCATGTTCCCACCACCACGATACTCGGATGTGCCCAGCTCCATCACCATCTCTGTCGCCGATGATGAGGGAGGCCAGCTCGATGTCGAAATCCCCTTGGACGAGCAGATCCAGGACGACCCAACCGAGCTATGCGACATTTTGGAGGCTGAGAAGAGCGCGACACCGACGTGGGTCCAGGTCGCCGTCGCCTATGCGAAGCGCAAGAGGATAGAGACAGCCATAGATGTGCTGAAACAGGCCACTCAGGTCTTCAATCGCGCGCGCGGCGAGGACAGGCTCAGCATCCTCAACGGTCTCTGCTGGCTGTACCTGCTCAAATGTCGCGAAGCACCGCGCGTCAGGCCTCGTAAGCCATCATATCATGTCCACGTACGTTCTCATGGCTGACACATACTAGAAAACGCAGATGGAGATGTCAAACTGAAGGAGTACTGGATCCAGTCGGCTACTGGCGTACTCAACGATGCCTCCCGTATCAGCCCCTCGCATCCCCCGCTGTTCCTCGCCCGTGGTGTCTTATACCTCCTCAAGGCTTCGCTCCAGGGCCCTGCGACTGCCGCCGGCTCCACAGTCAGCCCTGAGCGCATGGAGACGCTGAAACAGGCTGCAAAATGCTTCGAAGACGCGCTGAGGGCATCCAACGGAAGGAACCTCATGGCCAAGATGGGAAAGGCCCGTGTTCACTACTCCATGGGCAAGTGGGCAGACGCTCTGAAGGGATACCAGAACATCCTCGAGAGCTCTCCCGACCTCCTCGATCCAGATCCGCGCATCGGTATTGGCTGCTGTTTCTGGCAACTTGGTCACAAGGACGAAGCTGCCAACGCCTGGCAGAGATCTCTCGAGCTGAATCCAAAATCCAAGATTGCCTTGATTTTGATGGGCATCTACAACTTTCAGCAGACTGCCAACCTGTCCACGTCCGATCCCAAGTTCGCCGCATTGATCAAGAAGGCAACGGGTGAATACATCCAGCCCGCACTGAAGATTGACAACCAGTACCCCTTGAGTTGTGCCACGGTTGGTAGCTATCTTGCTCTGAGGAGGGACCTTGCCAAAACTGAAGACGTTGCGAAGCGTGCCATCGAGCTTACCGACACCAACGCCATAGCTAGTGATGGTTGGTACCTACGAGCCAAGGTTGCGCACCAACAAGAGAACACTTCGCTTGCCGCGGAATACTACCAGAAGTCTGACCAAGCTCGAGGAGGCGAGGAGCGAGGTTTCGTACCAGCCAAGTTCGGACTGGCTCAGATGAACGTCTTGATGAACAACTACGACGGCGCCAAATTCCGTCTCGAGAAGATTCTCCAGCAATCGCCCAACGTGGAAGCGCAGACCCTCCTTGGTACCTTGTTTGCTGAGGACGTTTTTACCGCCCAGAACAACAAATCCACCGAAGACAAATCTGCAGAGTTGAAGAAGGCACTAAAATATCTCGAGAGCGTACAGAGCGCGTGGAAGGACCCCAAGAAGAAGGTCACTCCTGACCAGTCGGTACTGCTCAACCTGGCCAGGCTCTATGAGACGGAACACCCTGAAAAGAGCCTAAAATGTCTTGAGGAGGTAGAGCAGATGGAGATCGAGGCCATTCCAGAGGAAGACTACCCAGAAGGAGTCGAAGAGGGCGCCGAACTCACAGCAGCACTTCGCCAACTCCTACCACCACAACTACTCAACAACATGGGATGTTTCCACTTCCAGGCCGAACGCTACGTACGTGCTCAGGAGCTTTTCCAGGTAGCCCTCAACGCCTGTGTTAACGCAGAGAACCGCGACGATACGATCGATACAGACGCACTTGTGACCTCTATCAGCTTCAACCTAGCCCGAACTTATGAAGCTGAGGGCCAAGCGGAGGAAGCTAAGAAAGTGTACAACAGTCTGCTGCAACGACACCCCGATTACGTCGACGCGCGCATTCGTCTGACCTACATTGCGCTAAGGGAGAACCCACAAGATGAGGGCCCCAGGGCGATGAAGGATCTCTTTAAAGAGAACGAGGACAATGTCGAGGTGCGCGCCTTGTACGGATGGTACGTCAACAAATCCAAGAAGAGGACGTCCAACTTCGCAGCGGATGACGAGCAGCGGCTCTACAAACACACTCTGCAGAAGTCTGATAAACATGACCGCTACTCGCTCATGGGCATGGGCAACATCCATCTCGCTATCGCGCGTGAGATGCCTCGAAGTTCAGAACAGGACAAAGAGAAGCGACGAAAGGGTTACGAGCGAGCAGTGGAGTTCTTCGACAAGGTGCTGCAACTCGACCCCAAGAACGCGTACGCTGCTCAGGGTATCGCAATCGCACTGGTAGAGGATAAGAAGGATTACTCGACAGCCTTGCAAATCTTCACCAAGGTGAGGGAGACGCTCAAGGACCACAGTGTCTTTGTCAACTTGGGCCACACATACTGTGAGATTAGGCAGTACGCGCGAGCCATCGAAAACGTATGCTTACCCTACTTCCCCCTGATATGTCATGCTAACACATCCTAGTACGAAGCAGCCCTCTCCAGGAACAGGCATAACGACCCAAAGATTTTGGCTTGTCTAGGACGAACTTGGTATCTCCGAGCGAAACACGAACGAAGCCTTGCCGGATACCGAACAGCCCTCGACTACTCAAAACAAGCCCTCAAGGCCGCTCCTGCAGACCTCAACTCCCAGTTCAATGTCGCCTTTGTCCAGTTCCAGATTGCTTCACAGGTTCACCAGCTCAAAGAGACGCAGCGCACGCTTGAGGAAGTCGATGAGGCTGCAACAGGTCTGACTGAGGCAATCGAAGCACTTGACAAGCTCGCTAAGGAGGAGACACCACCCTTCCCACGTGCAGACATTACCTCTCGTGCAAACATGGGTCGTAACACCATTGCAAAGCAGCTTGAGCGTGATCGCGAGCAGCAAGCAATATACGAGGGGGAGAACGCGACCAAGCTCGACCAAGCGCGCCGTATTCGCGAAGCTGAAGTACGTCGCCGCGAGGAAGAAAAGGCACGCGCGGAGGCAGAGGCTTTGGAGAAGAAGCGCAAGTACGCCGAAGAGCAACAGCGCCTACTCCAGCGTGACCGCGAGCTCATGGAGAAACGTAATGAAGAAGAGCGTAGACGCATGGAAGAGGATGAGGACAAGGAAGTCCGCAAGGCAGAGCGGAAAGCGCGTGGTCCCAAGGGCCCGAAGCGGAAGAAGAAGAACGCTGACTCTGATACCGATGATGGTCTGCCCTCTGACGACGATGAACCGCGTTCAAGGCGCAGGAGGACTACGGCTAGTGGCACCGAGGATCTATCCGACGAAGAGCGACCCCGTGAGAAGAAGAAGAGGAAGCTGGCTCGCAAGAGCGAACCTGCCGGTAAATACAAGTCGGCAGAGTTCATCGATGATGAGAGCGACGAAGAGGCTGCCGACGATGCGAACGCGGCGGCGGGCAGTGACGATGAAGGTGCCGCAACTGCAGCTCCTCGTCCCCGCAAAGCCCGCGTCGTCGACGACGAAGACGAAGATGACGACGCTGTCGCTGCACCGAAGGCGAACGGCGACGTTGCCATGGATGATGATGAAGACGAGTAAAGTCGTCTCGCGTCAACTCATGGTCTAGTCTTGTAGCTTTGGAGCTGAAGGAAGGCTCGCATTCGGCGTTTGAGTTATCTTGTCTAATCTTCTGCACTGTTATAGTTTTCCATCTCACATTCTTGCATCAGCGCTACGGCGTCTTGGGGACGGAACATGAATCATCATCAGCTCGTCTATTCTATAGCACCACTAAAATTTGTATACCACACGCACGGGGGCGGAATAGAGTAGCAAGCCAAGTAAATGTACAATAGAGCTTTCTTCGAAATTCTCTACTTTGACTCGAAACGACTGCTTGTAATGCCAACGTAGTAGTAACCTGTTCAAAGCGCCCATTCATCCTTGTCGTCCGTCGCGCTGATAAAAGGTTCATTGACGAGTTTAACAGCAAGTTCACCGCACAAGACACTATTCACGTTAGCAATTCGTTCTCAAAAGACACAGCAAGAAGAACTTACCAGCTACTCCCAACCAAAGCATCCAACTCCCTAATCGCCCTCTCCCTGCCCTTGCCCACCTTGACCCCTCTCTGCACCTCAGCCTGCAACTCCGCAATCCTCTTCCCCCTCGCAATACCTGCGAGCTCCACCACCCTCTTAGCCAGACAATCACTATGGAAAGCATGCTGGCAGGGAAACACAAAGAACTGGCGAGCCAACAAGGGTAAACCACAGACGTAGCATCGCTCTCCCGGTTCCACAATAGCATATCGCTGCTCCAGGGCTTTGATATCGGATTTGATGTGTGTAGCCGTCGCTTCACTATCATCCATTTCCTGTTTCAGGCTATCGATCTTGTGACTGTAGTCCTCCAGCGCAGCGCAAATCTCCTCTTTGAAGTCGTCGATGACGACGAAATCGGGGAAGAAGGGAATCAGGTCTTCTATCCTGAGTAGGTCGACTCTTCTCAAGAACTCGATAGCCGTCTTGATGCCGCTGGATTGCGAAATCACCTTCTTGGCAATGGCGAGCCAGAGCTTCTTGCGCAGAGGGGGTGATGTGTTGGACCGGTCGGCTACGGTGGACGCGAGGTCTACTTCATCGTACTTCAGGGCGAGGTCGACGGCTTGCACGTATTGTTGCATGGAGCTGTAGATGTGGACACATGATTGGACACGTTTGTGTTGGATACAGAGGCGAAGGGCAAAGTCTGCGTCGTAGTTTTGTTCATGGGCGAGAGATTGGCCTTCGAGGTAGGCGAGAAGAGCGGATTCGTCGGGGGTCGGGTGCGAGGCGTAGATAGAGATGAGAGTGTTGTGGATGGCCGCGTCGGTAGAGTTGTGTTGGTTGATTTCGAAGAGGAGGTAGCGGACTGCTTGATTTTGGGCAAGTGAGGCTTTGGTGTGGTTGTTGTAGTTGAGGAAAGCTGGGATGAGCTTTTGGGCGTCGAACGTCGAATGGCGCATCATGATGTCAACCAGCTCGACGGGCACATGTGCCATCAGAACAGAACTGTATTTGTAGAAGATCTCTGGATCCGTCTGTTTTTTGAGGACGTCCAAAGACTCCTGCCATCGCTCGCGCTGCACCCAGTACGACAAGACGTAGTTATAGTCATTGACCACAGTAGCGAAGTACAGCAGTTCCTCCTCGCGACCGTGGCTGCTGATGATCTCATAGACGGTCTTGCGATCCAGATCAGCCTTGTATTTCGATACAAAGTCCTGATACTCTTTACGGATGACCGACAATTGATCATGGGTTTCGGCAGTGTTCATACTCTCTGATAACTCAGCCTTTGTAGTGATAGTGTCGTCGAGAGTGTTGAGCTTAGCCATGTAGAGCTCAATCAACCAGGTAGCAACCATGGTCCTCTGCATGATCGACGACTTCTTGAGTGTGGAGAGCTTTGTAACCAAGTACTTCCTCAGAGCGTCTTGCTCGCCATTATCGATGAATGTCAATGCAACCTGCTCAAAAGGTTTCGTGCTTCGGCCATAGACTGTCGCAGCCTCCATCCATTGGCTCTTACCAACGAGGTAATCACCAGATGCCGTTGCCACTGCATCCTTCTGAGCAGGCGTTTTGGCATACTGTGAAGCCGCTTCGAATTGCTGTGCTCTGAGCATGATCTTCCAGACATCCCTACTCTCGTCGGTCACAACAATTTCGAAGATCTCTTGGGTTGTGAAGAGCCAGTAAGTATTCTTCTTCAAGTCGACCACCAGACCAAGCGCACTTTGTCCGGGCTCCAGCACAACCTGATCAAGGACCACAGTATCGTCCAAACGGTTGATAGCTACGATTCTGCCTTCAACGAGCTGTAGAATATGCCACTGGCTCAAAATCATCGAGCTGACTGCGTCTTGTGTTCGTCGTGTCCGTCCGCTAGCGGTTTGTGAAGGTGGCACTTGGGATCTGGGCAGCATCTTCGCGTCTCCTAGAACTTTGCTGCCCAACTCAGAGGTATCTTGCGATAGATAAAGTTTGCCGTGTAACACGCCTTGTGATGTAAGCCAACCAAAGATCCTCTCCGCGTTCGATTCCTCGCGATTTGGGTTTTCCTGGTTCTCTGGGGAGACAGAGAGCAGTGAAGTTGCTGTAGAGGCTACGTTCGACACCTCATGCACTGTCGCAGATTCGCTTTCGAACAATTTCGAGAATATAGATCCGCTGCCTTCGGATCCTTGACGTCCGACTTTGCCTGCGAAATGCAGGAAAGTCGAAGGTGTGGCTACTATGATACGCCGCAGATCTGTTCTTCCTGGCACCATATCCGTCCAGAGCCCCGTAATAGGACCATCGTTCGTCCTATATACACTCTTCAGGTATCTCTCTTCCCTTCTGTAGAACTCGGAGGACGGCTCGATGTACACTTCGTAGACATTGCCGTCCGATGCTCCTACAAGTATCTCGCGCGTTGACGCTGTAGGTTGGGAGGGATTCCACGATATGCTTTCTATGACGACACCCTTCAACCGTGATAGCGCCTTCGGTGTCCGTGATTGTGTATGGAGGTAGTAGTTCTCGGCGAGGGTAGTGGTTACGATGAGATGGGACGCGGAGGGGTCGAGGAAGAGTCGTCTGATGACGCCGACTTCTGACGGCTTCTTTGGTAGGTCGATGTCTTGAATCAAGTAAGCAACTGTCCGTCATTTCCCTTCTTTGTGCGGCTTTGCACTACGAACCGTCTATATCAGCGGGACTATCCAGGTCTATACGCAAGATGCGTCCAGTGGACAGGGCCAGTACCACCACATTGTTCGCTACGGCAGCGGCCACAAAGTCGGAGGAGATGTTGAACTGTAGAGTGACGCGCTCTATGTTGAACATAGGGCCCGACGCATCCTCTTGCATGTTGCTCGTGCTAGGCGGCGCATACCCGCTCGAGGTATCGTAAGCCATGGTGGGCTTGGTGTGCAGCTCTCAGCTATTGTAGGTTCGTCCTCATTATTCGCGCGACGATTCACAGCCCCTGTACTCTTCCTCACCGTGCTGCTGAGTTTCGCTACAGTTACGAGCGCATCTGGTTGATGGTGACGCCTAAGCTTGGAGCTTGGACTTCGGCGATGGAGCGGAGATAAGCCGGGGTTGGCATGGCACCATGTCAGTTCGCGTCCTCGCTCTTCATGCTCTTCTGCGACCCTTTCATCATCTTAGCAGTAGAAAGCTCTGCAAAGCCTTATAATGCTCATCACTAAGATTTAATAGAAGTATTCGGGTCTGAACTGACCCGCAAATAGCCAAAAGGCTGGAGGTCTCTTCACCTAGGTGAGAGCGACCATACCAACGATGGCCTCACCATGAGGCCCATGTGCTCACGCTCATTCACCTTCACTTTGCGAATCAGGCTACTCGACTTTGATCTTTTGTGTGCTTTAGTTTTGAATTTTTTTCCCTCCACTACATCTTCCTCAGTAGCACACGCGCAGCCGATTCCGATACAGGCTCACATATCATGTAGCGTACGCCCTCTATCAATTGCATATATACTAAAACAGGCAGGGAGCTCGGCAGTGAGATGGTGCAAGTGGTCGTGGGCGCCGACAAAAAGCCTTTCACGTTCCACAAGAAACTCATTCGCCGACACTCAGAATACTTCTCTCGCGCGTTTGGACCCAGTTTCAAGGAAGGCGAAGAAAATACACTGTATCTTGCCGAGGCCGATGAGACTTCCTGTCTTCTGTTCCAGTCTTGGATTTACCTACAAACTGCTCGTTCGCTGCACCCCGTGTCTGCCCCTTCCCTTGCAGAACTTGGACAGGTCGTGAATTTTGAAAAGTTTGACCCAGCATCCTTTTCTGGTACCTGGATCCAAAATTTGATCTCTGAAAACACCGAACTCGCTCTCAAGCGTCATTTGATTGACCTCTACGTCTTCGCCGACGCTTATGAGTGTACGACCCTGCGAAACGACATCATAAGTGCTTTCATGCGTCTCGACACACGATCAAATTCTGATATGGGCTTCGATCTGGCTCCCTTGATTTTTGGATCCGTTCCGTCTTCCTCTACGCTCTCTAGGTACATCGTCAGATCGACGGCAAGTCACGGGCTCCTGAAAGGCTACGATGACAAGGTCGCGAAGTCACAGCCCCAAGAGTTCAAGTCTGAGTTATTGGCTATTGGTGAGCAGCGAGGCCGAGGGTTTGCGGAGGGCCTGCGCGATCCTTGCAACTTTCACGAGCATGCTAAGGATGAAGAGATGCGGCTATGCGATTCGGTCTGGCTGAGAGGACAACTTTATATTGACGCTCTTATCTCAGCGTGTATGGAAGTCGTTGATGCGCAGTCGTCGAACTGAAGGTCGTTGTCAAAGGTCCCTATCGAAGAGATTGATGGGCAGGATTTCTGCGAGTGAATGACTAGCGAGGTTTATGAGATGAAGGGCATTGCACATTTGTATACACCGAGTCGGGTCTGTCAAAATTTGTACACATTGATACGATCCAGCTTGATAGCCGTCCAAAGAGAATGCTCTCATGGTCATAGACTACCCTCAATCGGTTTCACCATCTGATTCAGCACCAGGACGTCTAAAGATCACTTCGGCGATCCTTTTATCTCGTTCATCATCGCGTCCAAACTCCTAACCAATGTCAGTACATAAATTCGCTCTCACCGGTTTTACAATGGCTTACCTTGCGAAACACTGTTTCGAATTCCTCCTGCACCATCTCAAAGAAATACGTGATATCCCATGGACAGAACGTCCACGGGAACGGTTTGCTATGCAGATCGATCAAGTCTTGATACGCTGCCACTCTGCTAAAGCCCTCAGTGCGCAGACGATAGACGTATGGTGCGATTAACGCTAACATGGATAACATGCCGCGACTCCCCGACGCAGCGTGATATCTTTGCTTGTCGATTTTGAAAACGAGGACACAATTCTTGTTTGATATCGTGAACAAGCTTTCCAGGTCGGCCTCCATGGAATCAGTAGGGACAATGTATGGTATAGGATTGAAACTCATGAGGAGCCAATGAACAACGTCTGCAGGGACGATCCCTCGGTGCCAGACATCTGTCGTAAGAAACCTCTTCAACAGACAATCCTCGGGATCAAAATTGAAGCGACCGGTACGATACCAGTGCTCGGCTATCTCTTTGCCCACTGCTTCGCCTGTGTATTCGACAAACTTCCACACGTCGCTACGCATACCAGGATCTTCTGGCATGGGTAGGTGAGCATCAAAGAAAGGGTGGCCTAGTTTTCCAGTTTCATCGTTGAAGGTTTCATGCGCTTTCAGAACGTAATGTTGCTTGTGTGGGGTAACGATCTGGTCATAAACCATATCTCTTAGCTCACGGGGCAGAGCTGCATGGAATGCAGAACAGAACGCAAGCTGAGATTGACGATGCCTCTCGTAGAACTCGAGTAGGCGCTTTTCTCGGGTTGCTCTGTGATGATTCGATTAGTCGTACGTCGCTGATATCAGTGTGCCTAGCTCACTCGACCGGAAGGTCCCCGGCATCCGATGTCCGATGTGAATTTGTCCTTGCTACACTCAGTGACCTGAAAATACGTCTTGGTTTTATATCGCATGACCTACATTTCGTGCTGAATTGAATGCGAATAGTCAAAATGACCAGTCTTCATTGTGGACGAGCAAAAAAAGGAAGAAGCTAGCTGTGTGGAGTTTGAGTTCTATAATTAAACTTAAGACGTTGAGAAAAGCGAATATGCTATTATGAGTATTCATGGATTCGATTGCTTCTATACAAGAAAGCCAGGAGAATGATCACGGCGGAGTCATTGATGTCCAAGCCACAATACGCGAAGGATCGCGCTGACTCAAAATGAGTCATGTCGCAGGTACAGGGAGGCGAGAGATAAGCCCTTCGGTGACTATCTTCGCGAAAGATATACAAAGATTATCCGTGCTAAGATGGAAAGAATGGTGGAGGGAGCAATTCTGTAGCGCAGGACTTTTAGCCAATGTAGCCTTTCGCCTTCATCTCTTCCTCCGTCCATTTCCATAGTCTTTCGCCCAAATCATCTGGTGCATTGCGCGGCATAGTTATCTTGCTTTTCTTAGCAATTGGATCTAGGTAGCCCCCTGACATCTCCGCAGTAAAGTCTGTTCCAGCAACTGCAAAAAGCTGCGTCCAGCTTCCCTTGTCGGCGCTGATCATAAAGCCTACTGCGCGAAACAAACATCTCATGGGATTCGAGGATAAGATTGAGATGCCGGGCATATCGACATGATCAGTGAGATTGCTAGACGATGGACCTAATCAGTAAAGGAACTGAGCGAAAGAAGTACATCGAACTCACGTGTCAATAATACCCGGATGCAGTGACGAAGTCCAGATTCCCTTTGTGCTCAGCATTTGGTGAAGAGAGAGCGCATGAAGGTAGTTCGCTAGTTTGCTTTGTCCATATCTCACCCAGGGACTGTAGCCGGAGCCTTGGAGGTTGATATCTCCGAACACAATGCCCTCAGATGGTGCCATGCGGTGGTTTGTGGACGACACGTTGACGATTCTGACCGTACCTACCGGCTCTGTAGTAGCGGTAGACTGGAGAAGCGGAGTTAAGAGGTAGGTGAACAACCAGTGAGCGATGTAGTTTGTCTGTTGGACACATTCAATTAGCTACGCATCAAAATGGAAAAGGAAGACCTCACCTGCCATTGGAGCTCATATCCATCTTTGGATATCTCATTCGCGACGGCCATTATACCAGCGTTGTTCACTATTCCATGCAACTTGTCTTCTTCGCTGTAGGTGAGAGTTAGCAGCGATTCAATCGCAGGATCAAGTAGCGTACCGGAGAAGTTGCTGTGCAGCACTCTTGACAAATTGCAAGTCCAACATATCCATCACAAGTACAGCAATACTGAGATCCGTTCGCTTGGTTTGTGCTCTGATCTCTTCTATAGCTCGCTGTGCCTTTTCTGAGGATCTTGCAGTTAGGTAGACTTTGGCGTTATGTTGAGCAAGATGTAGCACTGTTTGTTTTCCACTGGTATATATTAGCTAAACGATGCTGTCGATATGATATTGCACATTACATTCCACTGTTCCCACCTGTGACGACATAGACTTTACCAGATAAATCCGGGATGCCATTGTCTGGGTTGAAGGTCGAAGATAACATGATGATAGACTTTTGAGAGAGAATTTGACGTATTCTAAGATAGGCTCACCGTATGAGCTGCTTGTGAAATATATTTGAGGTACGCAGATAGTGCCGAGCGCGTTGTGCTGCGGACGAAAGAGAACGGCAACCACGGACGACCCAACATGGCACTTTGGAAACACGATATGAATACCACCGACACATTCGGAAGGACAAGAAACTTGGTAGAGACGACCGGACGAAATTGGCTGAGATGAGTTGCTGCTTCTGCTCCAATGTATAGTGCTCTCAAACTCCGCTAGTTCTCCAAAAGCCCGCAACACTGTCAGATCGTATCACAGCACGGACCACTCTTCAATCTTTCAACATGGAGATGCTGATCTGGTGAAGCCCGGATCATGGTGGGCACCTTATCCAATGCCACTACCCTGCAGCCAAGTGATACACAAGTACAACGTGTCTGTGTGGGGTAACCCTGTCCAAAAATTGGTTTCGGCCGTAAGCGCCCATTTCTCCTATCGCGCTACTAATCAAATTCAGATTGTGCATTTAATGGGGTATAAAGCGGTCTTAAAACAGTATCTCCTTCCTTCTGAACAGGAAAGTGCAATTTTCAACACCTGTGCAACACCGGACTACGATTCGACCGAATCCTTCTTTACGCAACTGATAAACGACCGTACTGAGCCTCTTTAGTGTTGGATGTAGACATAGTATGTCGTGGAAATAGCGGCTCCGAGTTTACAAGTTGAAGTTCTAGTTTTGGATTTGACTGAGTGTGGACCTGAGCTTGTCGAAGAGAAAAAGGTTGAACCAATTTGGTGGAATATCCACGCGCCCTCTATGCATGCGGCGTTCTACATTTATGAGGACACAGCCAGGCGGAGTCTTGAGCTCAATAGGCAAGCGACATACATGAGCATGGACGCATTAAACGAGGAGACCTGACTGAAGGCTCTTGGTGAAAGCGGTCTCCTCCAAGAAAGTCGGAATGAGATCGAGGTTGCCACATTTGAAGTTTCGCCTGTGCCAGGCGACTGCAAAACTTGATGAAGCGATCTGCTGCGAGATGCGTAACATAACTTGAATCATCTATCAGTAAACTGGTACATAACAGCGCTAGGGTATCTGCTTTTATCCAAACCTTTCCAACACTCCGAGCGCAACGCGCAATGCCCAACCTCATTCCAATCAAGTACGTTCAAAATCCACACTTCCTCTCATCCTGAACCCCGTGCTTATCCTCTCGATCGGACTCTGTCTCTCAGCTCTGTCTACACTCAATCTATCGGGTATCGTAGTCGTTCCAGTCAAGCCATTGAAGCCCTTGGCAACACCCTTCTCAGGGCTCCTCCCGGTACTGCGACTAGCAATAGGAAGCAACGAACCACCGTCGGTTCTCCTTGCACTGCCGGGGTAGCTTTCAATGCTACGCCTGCCGTCCGGGCGGTATGCCGTACTGCGCCCGCGGCTGAGTGCCTGTTCGATCGTGCGTGTGTCGAAGGAGTATTCGAAATCGGTCTTCTCGATACCACTGTAGGGGTCATTGGCCTCGCGTCGACTTCGCTGATTTTCGGTCTTGCGTTTGCGGAAACGCTGTTTAAGTTCGCGGAAGAAGTCGCCAATCGCATCGAAGGAAAGCGCGATGGCGATAAATGGTATGGAGATTGCGAAGCCGATGCCGAACATGTATTTGCTGACATATGACAGAGGAAGAGAAGGCTCGCCACCTCCTGGTTCATGTGGAAACTCTTGGATGTTGATAGTGAACATGGCTGCGATGAATGACAGAGGAAGGAAGATGATGGTGACAATCGTAAACACCATAATGGTCTGGCTTTGCCTTGCAGTGCCAGCAGCCTGGTCTCGAGCAAAACGTGCTTCGAAGGCGTTGGCATGCTTCTGCTTCAGATCGAGCAGATCAGTGATGGATTCGTAGATGCGCTTGGCCTGCTTGTCCATGCGTTCGAGATCCTTGATATGTGTGTCAATCGTCTTAAGCATGTCTTTGAACCTTCTCTTGAGGTCCTGCTGACTCTTGTGCTCTTCGCGATATATGTCTGTGATGCTTGCCTCCATGTCTGGCAATACATTGCGTTGGTCTTCCAGTACCTTCGCTATCATGTTGAGTTCGTCACGAATGTCCTTGGTCTCTGCTAGCAGGTCGGTTTCGGCGCCGATATCCAACAGCTTGTCGACGAATAGTGGGGCATGAGCAGCTGTTCGATCACTGTTGTCATACTCGAATGCGTCTTCTCGAACCGGAGGGTCAGCCAATGCATGCGCGTGTGAGTGATGCGACGAGTGTCGACGATTCAGATGCTCTCTTTGCCTTCCCTCAGCCTCTAGATGTCTCGAGAAGCGATTGGGCCGTCTGTGATGATGTAACCACTCTGATGCTTGTGCCGACGCAATATTGAAATCTTTGAAAAGCATGGTTTCCATCTCCGTAGCATCGCCAATACTCGACTCAAACATGTCCAGAAACTGGTAGTCTTCGTCGCCAACGCGATGTCTGTCAAAAACACCACTACAGCGGCCAGTGATGATCATCGCAAGATCGTATACACTGCGCACCGGATCTCTTGTCTTGCTGTTGATATCTTCAATGACACCATCAAGAACATTGAGCGGGTCATTACGCGGCTGCTGCCATCGTTGAGGGAAAGCCGTCACTATCAAGTCTTTTCCGAGTGTCCACATCCATAGTTGGTCGACCATGAAGATCTTTGGGTCGACATGCTGCGGCTCGTTCGACTTGCATTGGTATCGATAAACAACTTGATCTCGATCTCGCGACTGCGTATCGATGTTGTGGTAGAAGAACTGATCCAAAGTGCGTCGCACGTGCAACGAGACTTGTGAGGATGTCAAGTGAGCTCTGAAAAGCATCTCATCGTAAGTTGACGCGCGGTAATACTGCGGCTTGGACGTGCCTCCTTCGTTCTTCTCTCGCTCTTTCATCTTTTGCGTTCTGGAGATCGCAGCTTGCATTTCCTGCCGCCGTCGGTCGGTTTCGAAATGAAGGTAGGGCATGAAAGCGAAGATGTTGCCCTTCGCTACGGCTGTTGGGTCTTTACGTCCTGGACTACCAGGTGACCTAAGGTGGCCACTGTTGTTGAGAGAAGAGCTGGTATTTGTTCGTTTTGCATAGTGTTCTGGGCCTCTCGTCGGTGTTTCTGTTCCACCAGATCGCTTGCCAGCTTGCTTGGACCCACCCCACTTTGGTGTCTTCTTGGGTTTGTCCTTTGCTTTACTTCTCCCTTCCCTGGCAGTCGCGTGCCCAGAGCCCGTCCCTGCAGTACCATCTGTCTGATCTGTATCTAGGGTATTGGTCCGCATAGGTGTGCGAGGGAATGGTGACGACGATAGCTCTTGCGAACCAGCTACCGCGTCAATACCCAGACCCAAACCACTATTTACCATGATCTGTGGTATCTGATCGGCACCATCAGAAAGGTCTGAATCGTCGTGGTGCTTCGGTGCACGCGGTGTGCTCTGACACAGCGGTCGCATAAAGTGTGAGTGAATCTGCTGTCCTCGATGCTGGTGGCTGAAAGACCGTTCAAGCGCCTTGAAGCCCTCCACGTCACTGGCACCTTCTTCGATAAATGCTTTTGTGAGCAATGCCTCGATCCAGGCCATGTTATTTGCAGGAAGATGGATCCATCGGAAGGTTGTCGCCTTGGATTCCTTGGGTAGAATTGAAACAGCTGGCTTCCTTGGATTGATAGCATCGCGGGCATACAGCAGCTCGAAGACAGATTTTCTTGAGACGTTGTTTTCGTTATGGAAATTGCCAAAGTCGACAACAGTAGCATGGAAACCGTTCGTAGCGCCAAGGGCGTCTTCGCTAAGTGCTTCGACCTGGTTGTGGGGTGCCAGGGCATTGATAATGTCCTTGCGCGCAGGGCTCTTGCTTAGTGCGGCACGCAAGAATGGCGTAATACCAGAGTTGTCTTTGGCTGCTCGTTTGACATCCTTCCTTTCCAAGAGACACTTGACTGTGTCGAAATGACCAGCCTGCGCCGCGACATGCAGGGGTGTCATGCCAGTGAGTAACTTTGCGTTGACGTCTGCTCCAGCGGCCATCAATATCTTTAGCACCTTTACACTTCCTTGTTGACAAGCATTGTGTAAAGGTGTCCAGCTTCCATCACTCTTTGCCCCTACGTCTGCGCCGTGGACGAGCAAAAGCTCGATGATGTCGTCTCGGCCGTGTGCGATTGCCAGATGTAGTGCTGTCTTTTGTCTGATCTCAATAGCGTTCACGTTCGTCCTCGGAAGCCTGGTTCGTCTTAATAGCATTTCGCACAGCTCCTTCTTTCCAGTACTGGCAGCCCAATGTAACGGGCTTCGCTTCTGGTCGTCCTGACCCTCCGGTCCATCGATCGCGATGTTCTGCCTCAGCAACTCTGCGATGACATCGCGTCCCCAGTTGCAGTGCTTGTCTGCCGCCAAATTGTGAAGCACGTTCCGTCCTGTATTGTCCTTCTTGTTGACATCGGCGCCACACCTTAGCAGCTCATGCATGATGTGAAAGTAATTCTTCCAAGCAGCCGTCATGAGTGCAGTCCGTCCCTGCTTGTCTTGCGCATCCACATTGCCTCCAAACTTCAACAACAGTTGTACAATCCCGACATGATTCTTCTCAATTGCTTTAAACAGAGGCGAAACCCGGCCACCTGGCGCGCCGTCGGGTTTCGCACCACTCTTGAGCAAGTATTCCGTGATGTATATGTTGCCGCGCTCGGCTGCGCGCATCAAACCTATGCGTAGGAGGTGATCGACAGGTTGCGACTTCGCTTTCGCATGCTCGATGATCGCGATCGCATCGTCGTGTTTCTTATCCTCGATGGCCTTTAAAAGACGCGGTTCGACGCGCGCATTCTGTCCAGAGTCGGCGCCATCGCTCGATCGTGATGGTGAACGACCCATATCGGCTACATGCTCTGGCTGCGACAAATATTCGTTTACATGCGCGTAACGGTACGAGGGTGGGTGTACGTTCAATTTAAGACGGGATTGAGAATGCTTCAATGTCGATGAGGTCTGTCGCGTTTGTCGTCAAAAGCCATTCTTCCCTGGAGGCTCTTGGTTCTTCGATTTGCGGTCGTTGCCTTCATGGCGGTGGATGGCCGCATCAGCCGCAGGCCTAATTCAAGCTAAGAACATCCCCGGTTGCGACGTGCATGAGCACACGTGATGATCGGCATCTCGTGTATCGAAGTGAACACTTTCGTCAAGGTACGAGGTAGATGGTATTTACTGAGGACTTAGCGATAGGAAGTGGAAGAACCGAAGCTTACGATCGCTGGGTTGGGGTTTGTGCCTGGAGATCCGGGTATTGCGGGGACGGTACGCCAACTCACAGCGCGGCGTTGACGTCGGCGCGCTATTACTGTGCTTTTTCAATGACTCGACACCGCATTGTATGCATTTCCCATCAAGTGTCACACCGTTGGTTCCTTTGACGCGACCGTGAGACGCGTTCTTAGCGTGTGTCAAGCCGTTTGCCAGCGGATAATGCAGGTGGTTCCTTGACCTATAAACAGCTATGAAGACCGAGGACTATAAACCGCGATCGGCATCTAGAGTCTGTCTACCAACTCCATCTTCAACATTTACACATCGGAAGCCGAAGAGTTCAACACTCTCTTGGCGCATCTTGGTTTTGATCACCAGCCTCGCTCTCTACGCTATGTACAACGGCCTAGCTACTTTGCGCCCCATGGCCAACGGATTATCACGGTCTACGAACTCGATCTTCATCCCATTCATCTACAAATTTAGCCCCAAACATGTCCCACAAGTCATGTGTAGCATCGAAGGGGTCAACATCAAGATGCCTGTAGACACAGGGTCCACCGGCACGTTGATAGGAGCTCCAATACTTCCAAATATATCGCCTACTGAGGGCAAGCCAGCACACCACTTCTTCACAAGCAGCAAGATTCTCTATGTAGGCCGACTGGTGAAGCTGCCAATGGATTTTGTTGGTGAGGCTGGCTCCTACGCGACCGCGAACGTGCCTGTTTTGATTGTGGACAGAAGCTGGAGATGCCCTTGGTATAATCCCAGCAAAGACCGATTCGAATGTCCACCTGGTCCAGACGGGGAGCAGGCTGAAGAGAGGGATACCTCGGAGATCACCTACATGGGTGTAGGCTTTGGAAGAAACCGCCCGAAAGACGGTATGCCGTTCGCGACACCGAGCATTAACCCGTTCTTGAACATCGATGCGATCGATGGGGAACCGATACAAAACGGAATGATGCGAGCTGGATATATCATATCGACCGAGGGCATCCAGATAGGGTTAACGCCAAGGAACACAAAAGCCTTCGCGTTCTCTAGTTTGGATCCAGGATTAAATCATGGCGAGGATGCGAGGGATTGGGCGATGGCAAAGATGTGCTTTAGCATCAACGACGAAGGGCGTAATGACGGTACTCTTCTTGTCGATACTGGCGTAGCGCAAATGTACATCAGAGCCGAACGGGACGTTTCAATCCCGACTGTTGTCATCCCAAACCCCAATCCAAACGGTCACACAAAGATGGTGAAGCGCGTGAAGCCTGGTACCAACATCACCGTTGGCTTCCCATCTCTAGACCAACCAGCGACATCATACTCGTTCGTCGTTGGCGAGAAATCGCTTATCGAACCCAACTATGTGTTTCCGCAATTGCCAGAACATCCTCCGTATATCAATACTGGTCGGAACTTGTTGTTTGGCTACTCGATAGCTTTCGATGCGGTAGGAGGGCGTTTTGGCTTTCGTCCGGTTGGCAATCATAGCTCTTCATCTGTACTTTAGTCTTCAACCATGCCATCGAGCAGACATCACATTGTGCGCTCACGTCTTTCTCTCTTTGCTTCTTCCCGCCCTTTGGTCGATACCAAGTGTTATACCAAGTCCGTCTCCTTTGCCCAGACCATCTAGTCATTTCACCGTCATGCTCCTCATTGGACTCCGGAAGCCTTCCCGGAGGTCCTTGTATTCCTCAACTGCTTTGACTACGACGCCATGCGCCTGCTCACTGTCTACGCCGAGACCGACCACAACAATTGCACCAACAACACCTTCCACGCCCTTGACAAAGACAGGGTATCCGCCACCTTCAATGGTGTATCTTGACCACTCGTCGCCGCTCATGGCATTGTGCTCGGCGAACCTTTTGTAGTCTCCTTCAAATTGACAACTCATGAACCAGGTAGAATGTCCCCATCTCAGCACAGTGTTGCGCTTCCTCTCCGACCACTTTTCGTGATCGGGCATTATGCCAGGCAAACTCGGCGAGTGGAACAGCGTCTGATTCGCAGACGAGATCTGGATAAGCGCGGGGCATTCGGCGGTTCTTAACGCATTTCGGAGGATATTTCCAATGACCCAGGCATGCTCGCATGTAAAGTGATTGAAGGTGAAACTCCTTTCCTCTTTTGCCAGTTCGGTCAGGTCGCGTGTTGGTTTGGGGAGTGTGTTGAGCATCTTGTTGGTTGATTGCGAGGACGAGTGCGACATGGAGGGCGCTTCGGTGGGGGATGGCTATAGGTAGGGAATATTCACATATAGCACATGTAAATTATGGATATCCAGAAGACGGGTCTGGAAGATAGGGGATGACGCGTCAATGGCGCGACAGACGGAAGTCGAAACAAAGACGATGGCGGCTGTCTGTTCCGATGGGGCAATGACAGCCGGCAGTCGGGTCGTGCCGCTGTCTAGCTCCACGTTTGAAACGAGACTGCAGCGCGCACTTCGGATATACATTCCATGTTTTAGTCTTCTTTCATCTACACATTGTAACAACACTTTTCTATGCCAAGGCCTTCGGCATACCGTACTATTCTATGTTCCCATGATATCCCAGAGCTCAGTGCGCGGTGTGATATACGGCTTCACCTTAGCTCTTACAAGTGTCCGTTGTTCAAAGGCGTAGGCCAATCCGATAATCTTTGCATCGTTGAATTTTGCACCTAGGAAACTGAAACCAAATCTATCCCGTCATAGTCAGCATCGCACAAGCAACCGTTATTTGCGAACAACTTACGGAATGTTGGGCGCCGATGACACTAATCCATCAGCGTCAGAGACGATGGGCTGGTCAGACTGCATGGCCCCAATCGGTACAGAAACGATCGGCGCACCAGCAATACCAGCAAAGTTCCATGAAAAATGTGATGGTAGTAAGACGGCGTCGAGGTTATGCCTCTCAATGGTACCCAACAGGCCTCCTTCACCATCATAGTAGAGACCTTGCTGATATGCTTGCCAGAATCCAGCTTCAGTATTATTCCAATTTTGCAACACAAAGTCCCAGAGCTCTGTAGGTTTGCTTGGATATCCTTCTAGTGAACTATCTTGCGTCCATTTGCGTAGCTCAACTAGGCTCTTAATGTTATGTGGATTGTAAGCAAGTTGCCGCAGGTAGTTTTCGATGTTGACAACGAAGTCGGCCCCCATGATCTTCGCGCCTATCATACTGTTGTCTAGAAACTCTTGCGCTGCAGGGAAGTCGCTCTCTAGGACCACGGCACCAGCCGCGCGTAGAACTTCCAAAGAGTCGTCAAATGCCTTCACTATCGACCGTGTGAGTCCATCTGACATTAGTTGAATGACGTTACGAGGCACACCCAGCCGCGCGCCTTTAAGTGCAGAGAGTTTGCAGGCGCCAACGAAGTCCATATCCACTTCTTCTGGGATAGCAGAGGTGTAGTTGTCATGAACGTCGAAACCTGCAATACCTTGCAGCAAGTACGCTGAATCTTTCACGGTTTTTGTAAGAGGCCCGATAGTATCCATGTGCTCGCTGATCGGAATTACAAGATGTCGAGATGTAAACCCAACAGCTGTGCTCAGTTAGATCATGACTCATCTGATATGTGGATTATGTACTTGGCTTCATTCCTACAACATTGTTATAACTGGCAGGATCGATGATTGATCCACACGTTTCAGCACCGAGCGTAATTGTAGCCAGACCAAGACTGGGTTGATCAGTACAAAGCTCAGACTTATCAAGAATAGAATGACTCACGATGCCGCCACAGCACTTCCGCTTGAGCTCCCAGAGGGGTCTTGGTGGGGATAGAAGGGTCCGTATGTCTGACCCCCATATGCTGACCAGCCGTTGCTCGAATTAAATATTCGAAAACTGCCCCACTCGCTGGGGTTTGTCTTTCCTAAGACTATAGCACCTGCTTCTCTAAGTCTCTTCGCGACCGTAGAATCAGCGGGAACTTTGGCTCCAACTAAGGCGTAAGATCCAGCTGTGTTATTCATCTTATCTTTCGTGGCAATCTACATGCGACTCCAACGTCAGTCTGGTTTCCTGAACTCAATCTACGAGTGGCCGATTGGGAGCCATTAGCTTTGATGGGGTCCATCGTACCGTATCTTTGATGAGTACGGGTATGCCATGTAATGGTCTGTCCGTCAGCGGATATCATAATGACCCGAGCTCGCATACTAACCCCCGTACCATGCCTTCCGAACGTTCCTTGTCAAGCGCAGCGGCTATGACCAGCGCATCGGGATTAATCTCAGTGACTGGCCTCAAAACGTCATTCACTTCTTCGATGCGGGCGATGTAGGTCTGTTGAACGGTTTAAGTCGCGATATCATGGTGTCTGGTTTACCGGAAGTACTTGCCTTGACCAGATGTAAGCTTGTGAAAAGACTTCGTTCCAAACCATCAGCAACAGCGTCAATATCTGCCTCGTACAAGCTCGGTAGTGGTATGGCTAGAATTATATTGGTCAAGGCGCTCGTTATCTGGATCTGGAAACCCACAGAGCTCAAGTTGTCGATTGAAATACACTGCGCCCCCAATGATCAAGATGCCGAGAAAAGACCCAGGAACCATGATTCTCCAACAACCGTACCAGGACTTTGGCTCTCTTTGGGAATCTTCTGTGGATACCTGATGATATCGATAGCTTGCAGGCTCAGTTTGTGCGAAACATCGTCTGAGCGGAAACGGTAACCACGAACTACTCGACGCATTACCCATAGACATAGGACGAAGTCTTGCAGGGCGACGGCCCATGGAATCCTGTACGGTGGCTATCGAGCTTTTGCAAAGACGGTAATATCGCTTTCACCAGATTTGTAGTTTAGCAGGTTGCTGAAGGCATCAATTCTGGACTTCCAAGGTTGCGTTGCGGTTTGTTCTTTGGGCTGAGCTGATCTGGACGCATACAGGTGCTTCGCGCTAAGAAACCCCACAACAACATACCGGTAGCACATAAGCGATGCAGGTGCAGCCCGCTAAGGTAGTTTCGCAACAAAACACAATCGGTACTACTCCACGTGATATGATGCGTTTCACATCTAGCACGTCCGTCACATGCGACTCCCCATTCCGTTGATGATTTACATTGCCCAGGTGGCTTCTTGATCAGATATACATTCCATACTTCAATCCTTCCCTGCTCATACACGATATCAGCATTAGGGGACATGATTCTGCTTGCTCAATGTTTACCCCCTGATAGTGCCATACGAAGATCGTTTCGAGTTTGGTGTCCACAGTCACGACTTCACAAAGGACTCATTTCGTAACTCCTTTTCCTCGACCATCTCTCACTTCTAATCATTTATCTCGGAAAAATATTGCTTCAGTCTGTATTTACATCATTCAAACAGAGCTATAGGTGATTGTGCTCTCCCTAGCATCCGTTCCTCCAATCCTTTTCCCGATTCTCCTATAGTCTTCCGATTTCTGGCGCGAGTCAGTGGTAAAACACACCAACCACTTCCTCAGCTGATCAAAACCGAACCAGTCATCGTCTTCTTCCACAATGTCTACTCCAGGTTTCTTGTCTCGCGACCAGAACGGAGTCCCGTATTTGCCACCGATCACTGAACCCTTCAATTGGGTGCTGTCAAAGTCTCCTATAACATACCGCAACGCTATCGCATCATGTCCGCTGTTTGACCACTTGACAAGTATGTTCTCGGGTTTGACATCCCCATGAACGAGCTTCGGGGAGTGCATGTGCTCTGTACCCGCAGCTATTGATTGCAAGCAATCCCGGATGTGTACAGGATAGCCACGTTCGATTGCTTCCCGAAGGTTACAATCGTACTTCTCGAACACTAGGTTCAAGACACGCTCCTGGTCCATGGTTATGTTGATGGTCTCGTTGCGGTACTTAAATCGGAGCACACTGCTAGTCTCTACACCGTAATACTTGTAAATGCTTTTATGCGGCTGCAAATCGAGCATCTGACAAGCATCAATTTCCCGCGCAGTGGTATGTGCTACAAAAGTTGTGTTGAGGGCCTGCCAAAGATACCGACGATCCGGCTTCAGTATAGCACCTTGTTTCTTTTACATATCCCCTGCCACATGTTTATGGGGGTGGAAGAGGTTATAACGAGGCAGAACCTTTGGATATAAGTTGGCGGGATCGAGTTCGGGAGGTGGCAAACAGGTTTCTGGATCTCTCCAGAGCGAAAAGTCAGTGCAGTCGGCTTGACTGTTGGACATGGTGCCTTCCTTGATTCCGTGATACAGTCGTCCGTTTTGGTGAGCCAATACCCATGTCTGGGGGATAGCGTTCTCGTGGTAAGTACGGTGGCCTACTATTTGCATCGATGGCCATGGCCGTTCTTCCTTGTCCACGCCCATGAGTTCGCCGATGAACTTGAACATAATACTATGATCGATATGTAAAGTTCTCGCGGTCAATACTAGAGCTTCTGACGTAACGGAAGCGCTCAAGGTGATTAGGGAGAAAACTTCAGGCTCGCAAGAAGAAGAAAACCTCGCATTATGAACGGTGTAGTTGTCTTGTACCGTGACTATACAGCTCAACAATATAAATATAAGGAGAGATGATTGAACGGTGCTAGATTCTTCGAGACAGAGAACACTGCGACTTCCCACACAATGAAATAGTGAAATGCTGTGCTAACAACACTGCACTATCACGAGCCAACGTAGGTTCACAGTACATACGCTCATTAAATACATCAGCAACCCACAACGTGTTTCCTTAACTTCTCTTTTTGTGATCCCGAGGTCAAACAAAGCCATGGCTCCAGCGTCTCGTCCCCCTGTGGCGCGCAGCTTAGCGGAACCTGCGCGGCCCATCAAGAACGGCCTGGTACTTCACAAAAGGCGAAATTATGATGGAACCATCCGAGCAATCTTCTATTCAACAGTCTTTCTCGACAGCCTTTGGTACGCAGAGACCGAAAAGCGCAGCGACAGGAGCGCTCCCGATCCCGACCCGTACACTTGGGACACACCGCCGCGTTTAATAAACATGTTAAATGTCCGACCGGCTTACACACACGTCACGATGACATCCGCCAAATACCTTAAAAACAACAGGTTATATGCCAAAACAATGGATTATCTCCGCTACTCCACTGAGCTATTCGGGACACCATGTTGGCTCAAAGACATCGTGATGAGGGAGATTGAAAACTGTGAGACGCTACGTAAAAACCCACATCCAAACATATGTCAATATCGTGGTGTAGATTACGACTTGAAGAGTAAATGCATCATGGCGCTATTGTTCCAGAAGTACGACATGACTCTAGGCGAACTGGTAGCTGAGAAACGTACTTTTGACGCCGAAAAATGTCTGCAGGATATCAGACAGGGCATTCGACATATACACTCCTTAGGCTACGTACACGTCGACATCAAGCCTTCGAATATCTTTGTTGATCTCAAAGTACAGCCCGCCTGTTTTGTTGTTGGTGACTTTGATTCTATGCAAAAGCAAGGCTCACAGTTGAGATACAAATGCGGTACAGAAGGTTGGAATTTAGAAAGAGCAAGACATGAAGACTATAAAGTGAACGTCGAGCAAGATTGGTATGGTTTAGAGATGGTGGAGGCGTACATCAGGGAGAAAGGGAACGGGAAGCCAATGGAAGGAAGGAGTTATCCAAAGACGAGCGATATTTTGAAAAGGGCGAAGAGGAAGTTTGAGATGGATAAGAACGCTAGAGAGAAGCAGGAGGAGGCGGAAAAGGCGGTGGCGAAGAAGAGGGCTGATGCTGCGAAGAGGATCGAGGCTCTAGAGAAGGCCGACGTGAAAAGGGCTAATGCCGCGAAGAATGCCAGTCCTCCAAAGTCCACCGCCCTCCCAAAAACACCAACACAGCAAGCACCAGCCGCGACCAAGAAAGCTGCACGTGCCAGCAAGAAACTTCAAGAGGCGGCGAAAACAAGCTCACCCTCGCTCAAGAAGAAGAATAAGTCAGGCGCGCCGAAGAAACTGAGGATAGGACCACCGTAGTATTGTCAATTGCATATACTGTGACACGCAAAAGAACGGGTATCAATTAACTATGCCTACGCCATGATATGCTTCCTTTCCATATTCCCAAGATTTTGTGCACCAATACACACAATACATGCTTCTCTCTCAATCTCGTTGACTCCAATATGCAAACCCCACACTCAATCACTGTCACTGCCATAATCCACTAGCGGCCCCGCAACAGGGGCAGGCCGTTTGTTGGTCGGCGTAGCCTTGAACCCCTTGAGCGCCGCCAGTGTAGACCCTGACAAAATGCCGTTACCCTGCTGTGCAGTCGAGCTCTCTTGTTCTTGGACAGTATTATCGCCGTCTTGGTAGGCCGACTCTGCACTCTCAATCATCATGCGCTCGCCCATGCCGCCTGATTCCAGCTGCTTGGCTGCTTCCCAGTCACTCTTTTCTTTTGCGTACCATACGTCATCCGGTGCTTCATAACCTTGTAGACCAAAGCTGCCTTCGACCTTCCTGCGCTTCTTGCTCTCGGGATCTCTGCCTTCTAGTTCGGCGACGTAGGCTGCGGGAAGGGCTTTGCGGATCGCCTCGGCGGCTTGTTCTTCGATGCGGCGGGCTTCGCGTTTCGCGGCTTGTGGGTTGGGGTCTACGGTTGCCCAGCGGACGTTTAAGATTTCGTTGTGGTCGAAAGATTGGTGCGCCATCGCTTCTTTGGCAAACTGCGAGTTGGCTTCATTGGTGTAGGTAACAAAGGCCACGCCGCGGGCTGTGAGGACGCGGGTTCGTTCGATTTCGCCCCATTCTTGCATGTGGCGCGAGACGATTTCCTCGATGTCGTCGGTGGGGTGGATGCGTCCGATGTAGAGGGTTCGGTTTTGTCTTTGGAAGGTTCCTACTCCACCCATGTCGTCTCGGTAGTCGGCATGCTTGTCGCGCCCGAAGCAGTCGACGTTGCTTGGGAAGATGTCGGTGACGGTAGGCAGACGATGGAGGTACTCGCAGTCCACACCCTTGGGGCAGATACCACGCGCAAAGAAGAGGCAGAAGTAGGATCCAGGCGTCTTGTCGGCTTTTGTGTATCCGCTGTCCTTTGCGATGTTGCAGCGTCCCTGGGCGGCTGTCTTAGAGAGGTACTTGTCCTCCCTGTCACCACCAGACCACTTGTTGTACCAGACGTTGTAGATGTTACCCGTCTGCGCAACTTCCTGGGGCTTTATCGTCGCAGGATCGACTTGTGGACGCGCCGGTCTCCGTTTGCGACGGATGATCTTCTTAACCTTTTTGCCCTCGGCATTGGTCGTGATGATTGTCTGTTCTGTCGTCGTAACAAGCTCGGTCGACGCGGTCGGTTCGAGAGATGTGTCTGCTGCGAGCGACGTTTGTGTGTGTTCTTGTACTTCTGTCATGGTTGTGATGTTGGAGTTGTGGTGAGAGATGTCGCGACGGAACTTTCGACATGCGACAACCTTGCGCTAGCGTGCGGCTCTCCATAGCACGTGACCGGATTGCTTCTCCACCTCGACTTCCCATTGGATGGCTTTGATATCAAGCCTCAGCATACAAAACTCTATGCACAAACTCCACACTTGAAACACCATAATGGAACGTCTCTAAATATGCAAGATACCATTTCTCTGCATCTACAGACCCCTCTCACTTACTCGTAGTACTACTCATCTTAATTGCTCCATCAATCTCCACAACAGCTCCATTAACATACCGTGCTCCTTCTCCAAACAAGAATGCAACAACATCCGCCACTTCTTCCGGCTCTCCCAACCTCTCCAACGCATTCCCATTCCTCATCCTCTCCACTGCCTCGCCTCCCTTCACGATACCCGCATTCGACGGCGTATCTATATAGCCCGGACAAATAGCATTGACTCTGATTCCCCTAGGACCGAATTCCAGAGCATGCGATTTCGTCATGCCGATCAGTCCAAATTTCGTCGTGCAGTATACGGATTGAAAAGCCGAACCGCGTATGCCGGATACACTGCTCACATTGACGATAGCGGACCCACGACTCAGATACGGAAGACAGGCCTTTGTAACAAGAAACACACCCTTCAGATTCGTGTTGACGAGTTTATCCCAATACTCTTCACTGGTGTCTTCGAGCTTTATGCTCGTGGGATTCACGCCAGCGCAATTGAAAACGTAATCCAATCGACCCAGTCCCTTGACGGTGCTGTCAACAAATTCCTGAACCTCGGCAGCGGAGCTCACGTCGACTCTCCGTGTGAGGGTGGGTGTTTCGCATTCTGAAGCTACGGCGCTGAGGCTGGGGAAGTTGACGTCGCAGAGGGAGACGGAGGCGCCGAGGGAGGAGAGTTTGAGGGCAGTTGCGCGGCTTTTGTATGTGTTAGTGGGACGCACATATTTGGATTTGTGTGAGAAGAGGAGAGGGAAGGGAGGCAGAGATGTACCCGATACCGCTCGCAGCACCTGTAACCAGGACGACTTTATCTTGGAATTCTTTCGACATGCTGTGTGTGGGGTTTGTAGAAGGTAGGTCGCGATACTAGGATGGGCAGAAAATACGTCGTGGATTATAATTGCACGCGTACACAAGCGTGGTAGGCATGGCGACGGTTGTGATGACGGATGTTTGGGGTAAAGGTGGGGTGAAGTGGGATGTACTGTACATGACTCGAGCAACGGTAGAGCTCTTGCATGATAACCTCCACCCTCCTGCAGAACCTCACTTCCTGCTAAGCATCACAACCATCATGGCGACTCGTAGTAGTAGTATAGAAACTCGACTTAGCAATACTGCAGTCAATAGCGCAAACGTTCGACACTTCCTACAATCTGATTCAAACAGTACATTCATTTCTCATCCAGCCATGCTACTCGTATCTATCCAGATGAACGAATCCAGAACACCTTGCATTGCATTCCTAAATTGATTGTTCCACTCAGAAGAACACCATGGTGCCCAACTGCGACCATGCCAGTGTTTTGTTGCTCTTCGCCTGGAGAGACTGTCAAGTTCATGATCGATTTTGGTGCGTAGCAGACTCATTTTTGTGCGTTGCATCCCCGGTTCTTATGTTAGCTCTGGATCTTGATCTTTCGCCTCCTCGCTCTCGATTCTCTCGTTCGTTGGCTGAATGCGTATTATCATCTCGTTTTTCTGCATCTCGTGGGTGCAGACTGCCACCCTTGTCCTTCTGGTCGCCACCATTATCATCCTTTTCCGTGGTCGAGGCATTGTTCGGTCTATTATCGTGCTTTGAGCCGCCGCCGCCGTTCAGGACCAAGCTGCGGACTTTCTTTACAAGGTCGTCTACCTTGAACGGTTTGGAAATGACGTCATCCATACCAGCTTCACGCATGCTGTTTGTCTGTGCTTCTCGTACATTGGCAGAGACGCCCAGGATATGACTATATCCAGCCTTGCCCTCGTCTTGTAGTTGCCTGATCTCTTGTGTTGCAGCATTACCGTCTTTTATAGGCATTTCTTGATCCATGAGTATGCAGTCGAAATAATTGCGGTCGTCGGGTCCATTATCTGCCCTTTGTCCACGCTCGGCTACGGCGTCGATTGCTTCCTGACCGTTGTTCGCAGTGAAGACCTGAAAGCCGCGGGACTGAAGCTGCCGCCGGAGAACCTTTTGATTGATCAGATTATCTTCGACAAGAAGAAGAGTATGTGTATCTTCAGAGCGTTTGTCGCTCTGGGATCTCGTGACCTCCAAAGCGTCTTCTTCCTGCCGTGACGTTTCGCCTCTCCTCAAATCGGGCAGCCTTCTCTCCACATTTGGTTTGACTGTCTTGATCTCTTCAGTGGCCTTCTCCGTCTCCTTATAGCGCGCATCTTCATTTGACTCAGGATGTGCCTCTGGTCGTTCTTCTACCGGCGGATTCTCGAGTGAGGGCTCTATCTCGTTGGTGTCGACACCATGGTGGCTGGCCAGTGATTTCGCTTCAGGACGCTCGTTGTTCCGTTCTTTAATGCTCGAAAGATTCGAATTTGCACGACTCATTCCTGGGCGAGATGGCCGTGATGCAGATTCGCCTGGACGGGAGGAAGAATTAGAAGTTTCTGAATTACTTCGTGATTGTCCCGGTGGTCGTCCCTCATCAGTGCCGCCAGTCGCGCGACGTACTTTGAAGAAGAAACCAAATGTTGAACCTTCTCCCTCTTTCGAACTCACGCCAATATCTCCACCGTGTAATGTGCATACTGTTGACGATTTAGCTACAAAGCACCCGGAACGGATCCACTGACTCACGTTTGCGTGAGATGAAAAGGCCGAGGCCTGAGCCGCCGTATCTTTCCTGTGTTTTCGGTGTCGCTTGTCTATTGTATGGTTAGCGCGGCGGACTGACTGTCCTCAAGAGAGCGCATCGTACCTAAAACGCTCGAACAACTTGGCTTGGCCTTCCTTGTTGATACCTATACCAGTATCTTTAACAGCTACCATTAAGTACATAGCGGCCCCAGAACCCCATTCAGATGTCATGGTTGAATCTAGATGAAACGCCTCTTTCTCCTCACTGAAGTAGATGACGTTGGGGGGGTAAGACGTAGGCCGCTCGATGGACGCGCCCATGGATACAGTGATGTTGCGATCACCATTCTTCTTGGAGGTGAATTTAATGGCATTGGTTATCAAGTTGACCAAAACTAGAGATATTAGCAAGTTTCAATAAGATACTGAGCGATCCTTACCTTGCTTCATGCGGTTAAGATCGGCGACAACACTATCCACTTTCTGTTCCTCATATGAAACGTCCATAGCATAGTGGAACTCGATATTTTTCGCTTTGAATTCGGAATGAAAAACTCGAAGCGCTTGGGAGAATTCCCACTTAGGCTTTGTTGCTACGATAGTTCAGCAAGCAAACGACGCAACATAGTCGTGGGAACACTCACGCCGAGGTACCAAAGACAACATCATAGAGTCAAGCTTGGAAAAAGATAAAATGTCGTCTACAAGAGTATTCTGGTGTGAGACGCAAAGAAGTATAGTGTCGGCAGCATCCAGTATATCGGCTACCTGGTCGCGGATGTCTTCGTGATCGGTCCCAATCTCTTTCGTGATTTCTCTCACTTCTTCGGCCAAGTGCAAGACAGCTGAAAGGGGATTCCGAATTTCATGCGAGACCATGTCAATGAATCTCTCTTGCTGCTCCTTGCGATCTTTGGCGTCATTAGCAGCTTTCTCTTGAGTTAGTTGGGCCTGTTTAATGTCGGTGATGTCGATTACGGCGCTGATAAAACCGGCATCGGCTTCCTCACTCAGAGGCTTCAGCAAGAATAATCTCCACTGCTCTCCCTTAGACTTCATTTCTTCAGGCTCTGCGACATCACATCTAAACTCTATCTGCAACTCAGTACGGCTTTCGAATGCCTTGCGATAGGCAGTCATGACGTCTTCATAGTCGTCAGGATGTATGCTCTCTGGCCACGAGCGAAACTCGTTATTGCCCTTATTGGTCGTCAGCTTGAAGAAGCCGTCATTGACGAAGATGGCTTCAGCGTCCTTGTCAAGAATGGCCAGGCCATTGGGCAGCAGCTCGGCAAAGCGCTGAAACATGCTGGTCGACATTGAATCGGCCTGCTCCGTGCTCTTGTGCTTGCTTTGCTGCTGAGATTCTTTATCCTTAACCTGTCTTCCTGGATGCTGTCGCGAGAGCTCGTCTATGCCCTCTATGGGCATGTAGCGGTCCACGTTCTGATTTTCGAGGAGTTGGGCCAGTACGCCCTGTCGTGTGCCACTTTCGTCTAGGATAGTGCTGAGGAGAAGCTGCTGGTTCTTTTCCTCCGCGAAGTTCTTGAGGAAAAACCTGGCGGCTAGACTGTCAGTACGTCGCATAATTTGTACATGAACATGGTGCGATGCTTACCTACCTTGACCGTTCGTCCTCTCAGCACCGTCCGCAGCGTGCCGAGTGCTTCATGGTTGTAACTGTCGCGCGCGCGCGTGGCTTGACCATCAAGACCGCCTCTAGCCTTCTCCCAGGCCAAGTTATGGATTACAATCATATCCTTGCCCCAGAAGATGGCAGCACAGTGGGGCATAGGCAGCACGCATGTGTTGACGAGACATGTCAACGCAACGGGCCACGACTCGCGTGCGCCTATGGGTGTTTTAGTCCTGGGGCTGTCAGTACTGGCACACAACGAGAGCGCTTGCATAGTCGTTGTCTTCTCACCAGTCCTTGCGTTGTAGGTTCTCCTCATTGAGATCGAACACTGGCAAGCCCGTCGCAGATAGCTTGTCGAGGTTCTCCATGGCGCTGGTTCCGGGGAATGCGCTCGGCGTGTCTCAAAGCGAAAGCAGCTGGTGGGAACAAGCGTGCTTAGAGACGGAAGATCCGCGTGACGTCATATCATGGCTCAAAGACCACGACCCTACGAGTGCGTGCCTGTGAAGAGGCGATTTGAGACCAGGAACGTCGAGTCGCACTGCTGAGGGCGAGGAACAGGGCACATGAGGTAGCAGAGTCTACGCGGTCTAGACCGGCAGATCGCACTCGATTGCGATCTCTGCAGCGCCGTGGGTGCTGGCAGAACATGCATCGGGTGATGAGCTGAACATCATCGCCGATTGGGGCATGTCAGTCTAACTCTACTGGGGATTTGCGAACGGCAAGATACGTCACTAGCCTAGTAATAGATTTTGACATGAAAACACTATAACATGCATGTGTTGGTAGCCGTTCTCTGCAAGACACAACAGCGGGACGCCTAGCCCCGCCTTCGCCTCTGAGCAGCTGAACGTGGCACCATGCGCCTCACAAAGCACGACAACATTAAGAAGCAGCGCAACAACATTCATAATACTAAAAAAGCGATTGTCCCAGTGAAAACTAACAACCTTGTCCATGCGCTCGAGTCGCAATGATGCCCGTCGCTCCATCTATACCCAATTAGAACTGCGCGACGCCTTCCCTCTCACAACCCGACAAGAACTGATTCCAATCCATGACTAGCCGGCCGCCAGCCCAGGTACTCGTGCTAAACTCGCCCCCCTCATTGCTGTAGCCACCATCGCTCGCGCCATCAAGACCGCATTCATAGTCCACGTCTCTCTCTAGCTCTCTGTCATCTTTTATTTCCTTCTCGACCACAGGACTGACTTCCTCGACTTCTTTGAACAGCCTCCTTGCAGCGGCAGTCTCTCCTACATTCGCGCCGCCGCACCCAAATCCGCAGATACGCCGGCCACAAGGACGCCAGAATCGGTACTCGGCGACTTGAGGCTCAGAGAGAGGGTGGACGCCCAGAAGGCCCGAGTCGATACTGCGGTTGGACGTGTAGAAGAGCATGGTACCACAAGGATCAATGGGTGAAGTCGCTTCAGATTCCACTCCGTTGGCGATAGGGAAAGACGGACACGCTGTTTGACAGTACGATGCTGATTGGGAAGAACGGATAGATGAAGGCGGAGAGGCAGGGAATGCGCCGGAAATGCGAGTGTTGGTGTGAGACTCAAGTCTAGAACCTGAATTGCGCATGGAACTGGGCGACAGCTCCGGGAAACCTTGCTTTGCAGCCATCTTCTTCAGCATGGCGGTACGTGGGAATACACATCTTGATGGGCTTGTTGGAGGAGTTGCAAGACCTTCAATACCCTGGGACGATGCTGATGGAGTGCGGCAGCCATTGCGTGTTTCCGGTTTCGTGAGAACCTCATCAATGAGACCCATTTGTGGTGAGCACTGGCCGTATCCGTCTAAGTCGTAACGGCGAGAAGGCCTGCATATGTTCGAGCTGTTGGTACTCATCGGGCTCACTGTACGCACTGCGGAGCTCGGAGCGCGAGGTGTTGCAACCCCGCTTCCGGCATCAGATGCGGGTGAAGGGTAGGTTTCTCTTGCCGTCAAAGTAGGAGATAATGGTGTAGGAAAGCCCGGATATTTCCTTCCGACGTCTGTCAGAAGTGATAGGTGTGGTCTCATAGGACTGGGCTGAGGCAACGCAGCGCTCAAAGCACCCATGTCGTAGACAGGGCGGCTACTAGCGTACTGCGATCGGCTCACAAAGCCATTGGCAGATCCATCAAGTGAACCCACCCAAGAAGGAAGCCGGTCATCTTCGTCTGTTGGCATGTGCTGGAAGCTGCTGTTTGTAAAGAAATTCGTAGGACTTGTAGGACTGTTGTTATTACTGCAGCTGGAGGACCCTTCGCTCGTGATTCGACGTAAAGCCAAAGCCGTAAGAGCGTTCATCGGCTCCGCTCTGGCAAAGCGAGCATCATCACACGACCAGAGTCCGCCATACAACTGCCACGGAAAATTTTGAAGGAAGTGATCTTCTGGGTAGACATCGTATCCGAGGGTACGAGCACGGAAGAAGGCGTACACGAAGCGACAGTCGGGGAACTGACGAAGCACCTAAGGAGAAGATCTTTAGTGAAAGTCATTGTAAAAGAAGAATGGGAGGGATGGAGGAATCGTAGAGGCGTCAGCGTTCGACTGTGCATTTGACGAGTGCCAAGTAAATAATTATATAGGAGCAAAGGCTTGGAGATGGATGCTCATACATCCCAAGCAGGAAACAAAGGCGGTGTCGCTGTAAGCCTGCGCAGAGTCAGCATGTAACAATCAGCCATCGACTAGTGGGCATACATCAAGATCTCATAAGCAGCGTATTTCCTGAGCTTTCCAACGCCACGACGATATGCATGCAAGACTTCAGGCCGAGCTGTCCTGATATTCTTTCGGCCAAGCAGCTTATGCATAGCAGGGCTCGTGTGATACATGGGATCGTAGACAACCAGGTTGCATGAGCCGTTCAAGTGACGCTCAAAACCGATGACGCTGATAGAGTGACCTGGTTGTTGAAGATAGATGGGGGGTAGAAGAGTTTTGTTAACGTTAGACCCATCGCTGGCAGCTGCTCGGGCAAAGTATCGCTCCATGGCGGCGAGAAGTAGTTCGTGGGCTGCAACGTCGCGGTCTTTGTTGTCGCTGAACTGCTCGACAGCGCAATTAATCTCGGAGTTCAGAAAGAAAGCTTGAGCCTAGACCATGTCAGTGGGACACAATGAGGCATAGGGATATAGGTTATTACCTCAGGTGTGCCGATATACTTTCTAGTATCACGTATACCGCCAGTTTGAACACGGCCAATCTCGTTGATTCCTTTGTCCCAAGCGTCTTCAATATGGTCTTGCATTTTCAGAACTGTTGGGAGCCGCCCAGGAAACTCTTCGTAGCCCTGAGCCTTTGCGCCTTGGATGTAGGATAGCAACATTTGTATATTCCGATAGCCACAAAAGCCACCTTCATGGGGCGTTTTGCCAACATGGAGTGTCGATGGATGACAGTAGTAAGCTTGTTTGACGGAACGATCGAGAGCGGATAGTTGAGCAAGGATGGGTATAATGCCTGGCGTCTCGTTTTGCACCTGGTCATATTTGATGAGACGGCCATCTCGGCCAATACGGTTAACCGCAGTGATCTTTGGACCCGCCTCAAGCTGGTCGTGCAGCCACCTAGGCATTCGGTTCTCCCAGGCATAGGGTCCGAGCTCGGATTTCTGGAAGAGTCAGCTATGTTTTACTATCAGGGCGATGAACTAACCCCCAAACGGGCACTTTTGATTGGCGGCTTGATGGTTCGGTCAGTTTTCGCAAAGGGGTTGAAGCCTAGGATGCTCCTTCCAATAGTGCTCTTCTCGCTATCATTGGTATCACGCCTCTGACGATGGGTGTGCCTCTTGGATTTGCGGCTATGAGCCTCGGTCTTCAACGTATCTGATAATTCTGTGCTGAGACTTCGCTCAGATGTTGTTGTCTTTGCTCGGCTCGCATGTGAACGACGAGAGGAGGTCGGGCTTTGCATAGTAGCGGATGAACGCCGAGAATGATACTTCCCTGTAGTCTCGTCAAATGATAAAGTTTCTGCGTTGTGGTATTCGATATGGTCGTTGAAGTCAGAGAGAGGAACAAGTTCGCCACAGTCAGGATCAGGGCACTTTACAGCGCTTTCCTCTTCTTCGGAGTCGTCAGAGGAAGGCGTGTCCTCGGTGTCGTGCTGAGTTGAGGAAGGTCTAGGGACCAAGGTTGGTGGTAACGGTTCAGGGTCGTCTTCGATCACGAAAGGAGAATCCTCAGTATGCGCTTGCTCAAAGTGTAATTGAAGCATGTAGTCATCTTTTGGAAGCACAGTGAACTTGCACATGGGGCACTCCAAAAGCTCCATCTGGCTCATCATCCCTGTGCAGGTGAGCTTGCGAACGTGAAGATGGCGGCCAGCACTTCCTGGTCTCAGACACGTGGAGTGAGTGACGGTGTGCGGCGTCTCGTTGTTCACATGTATGGAAACCGTCACCTCATGCGCATGCGGTTGATTCTGCCGTGGTAGTCGCTGTTGGCTTCCGTGGCTTAGCATGACGAACGCGGTGCAGACGCACATGAGACAGCAATCCACAAGTTTGGCAAGAATCACACATACTGAAGACTGACTTATAAGATAAAGACGTTGTTCGCGAGGGAATGACGATGTTGGCGGTGAAGACTAGGCAAGACTGATGTGAAGAAGGTGCGACGCTCGTGTACAGCCGAAAGACGCAGCCAGTCAAACACGCCAAGACGCGTGACGCAAACTCAAACCGATGCAAATTCAGTGCTAAGATATGTTGATGCCATGTCGGTGTGAAGACGATGGATTTGTTGCTGACAAGTGGGTCACAGCGAAGCGGTCAGCCTCGCACGGCATTGACGGATAGAAGAACTGGAACGCTTGATGTTGGCAGCTTTGCAAACGCCCATCTTGGACGAGCATGCGAAGTCTGAAGTGCGACCATGCCTGATAGTGAGAGGGTGCATACATGATGGAATTTGAAGAGTCTCGTCGCCTACGTCATGACGTCGCCAAGAGCCGCCCAAGGATAGCATCTACCTCGGATTTGGCGTTGCCCGCAAACTTTCCTTCCCAATGCTGCTCCGGACGCCGTGCAAACCTCGCATCGCCTGGAGACACACAAATCGCATACAATGGCGACGAATATCGCTGCGATGCTATTCTTCCGCCAACTCGGGCGATCCGCCATGGTTTCAACAGCTGCAGAGCGAATTGCTGCAACGAGACGTTACTCATATTCGTGACCAACTCACCTACACGCACGGGATCAAGCTCTCGCAAACATTAGCGGGATTCTTACCTCGATCATGGTGCCGTTCCCTGAACTACAGCGGTTCACCGATGACTTTTGGGGATCACTTGGTATGGTTCAATCCGGCGGAGCCGACTCTCCAATTACTTCCAGACGGCACAGACGCAACACATAGCCCAGGCGAGCCATGGGTGCGGCGCATGTGGGCTGGCGGCTCGATACAGCTGAAACCTAATGGCTATCTTGACTACGCTCGCTGCTGTACAGCAGGCACGGTCATGGCTGGTACAGAGCAGATAAAGCATGTACGACTACATGGAGAGGGCGATACCGCCAAGATCTTTGTCACAATCGAGCGGCGCTTTGCAGGCCTTGAAGATGCAGAGAGAGGTGTCGACAAGGGGAAGCATGGCAACAGACCACCGGGCGTCAGTGTGCACCCTCAAGAGGCCCGGGGAGATCTCACACAGCAATCGCGCGCTGAGGTCGACGATGGCTGGGGCGATGCTGTTCTAAAAGAGGAGCGCAACCTAGTCTTTTTCAAGGAACGTACCGCTGCAGAACTCGAGGCTGTCAAAGCTGGTCAAATGGCGACTGTCAAGTACTTAGATCGTGCGTATCCTCGCAGACCATTGGGCTATCTACTGACTGTTAACAGCCCCTGGAAACCCCGACTTTTCACACACCCTCACGCCGAACCGCGCCCTTCTCTTCCGCTTCTCTGCTCTCACATTTAACGCCCATCTCATCCACCTCGATCCCGACTACGCTCGTAACGTCGAGGGCCACCGTAATCTGCTAGTTCACGGGCCGCTTTCATTGACCCTCATGCTGAAAACGGTGAATCATTACGTGCACCAACAAACGAAAGGGAAGCAAGTTTCAGAGTCCATAGAATATCGCAACCTAGCACCGCTTTATTGCGACGAGGAAATGCGCATATGCTGTTCGGAGAAGAAGAAGTTGCAGAATGGCAGTATATACGATGTATGGATTGAGGGGCCTACTGGTGGTGTTGCTGTCAAGGGCACTCTTCGCACCACAACAAATGATGCTTGGACAAAAAAGGATACCAGCATCGCCCAAACACATAGCGCCACACCAACTGATGAGCTGAAGACGAAATGGCCTTCATTCAAAAGGCCTGAACACCCTAAGCTCAAAAGGAAGTTACTCAACACGACCAACAGAGCTAGGAAGATGGCTAAGAGCTCTAAGAATGGTACTCAGGTTCACATCGCATCAGGGGACCAGCGGCCATCGCAAGACTCGCCGACGCCTCCAAGCTCAGAGCCTAAGACAAAGCCTGAGCCCTCTGCACACCCTGAGTCCTCGACAAGTTTTGAGCCTTCTACTCAGAACCAAGGTGAGATTCCAAGCCAGTCTACTTCCAGTGGAACTACCTCTCAACCACCATCTAGAGAAGTGAATTCCGCAATGGCGCACGAAACAAACCGAGCATACCGCCGCAAACGTGCCCATAACACCAAAGCCTACAATTTCATCACCCTTCCCCCCAGCGAACCGCCACCTGCCCGTATCGTCAACTCTTACACGCCCGTGAAACCGACGCTATCGGTACGGGCGAAGGAGCTTCTACGCCGCGCCCGCCGACGTAAGCCAGCCAAGATTAAGGTTGATCCTATCCCGTTGGTGCGCAGATTTGATGCGAGGCCGTATACTCCAGATCCTGTTCGGACTGCTGCGAGGCATAGCAGGTATTTGAGAAGGGGCGTCAGAAAGATGGAAAAGCTTAAGATTCGCCACGTTGCCTTGCCTTCTGGTCGTGACACAGGAAGACGGAGGGTGGTTATAAGACGACACATGAAAACGCAAAGAAAATGAAGATAAAGTTTGACACCCTTGGAGCGGCATGTACACATGAATGATTCACCTCCAGCCATAAAATTTAGCCTGCAACTAATGACTTTTTCTTCACGTTCGGCAACTTGTCTACAAAGAGAATTGTCACGCAATACATAGATGGCTCATCAACGAGGAACACCGCAATCGCCAAGTACACCTTATATAGTCAGATAGCTTTTACGTACAGATCCTGACATCTGAGTTGCATTGCGCAGTAGATCAAATGTGAATACGAATTGCTAGTTGAGCAACAGTAGGCTGAACACAATAGATCAACATATCCCTACCAGAGTCAACATGTTAGTGCCCCGTTCCTATACATACAGGCGCGTAGCTAATAAATCAATGGAAGAGAATCATTTGAGGTATACTTTGAACAGAACGCTATCTGGTAACGGAAAACGCCGTTCCATGGGTATCTTTCTCCTTGTCCTTGCACAATCCCAGAGTACTTAAGCGACGCGAGCTTCCAACCATAACGCCATTTGTGAATCAAGAAAGAAAGTAGAAGTCTAATGGGCCTTCTATGATGAAGAAGAAGGTCAAAGCTTCTAAGGATGGGAGACGCAAAGAAAGGAATGAAGAAGATGGGTGGGCGTAGCCATTAGTTTGTTCAAGGCCACAGATGTTCAAGATCCCCAGCCCGTGATATGCGTTCATGAGTCATATCAGGCGGATGTCGTCCAGAATTACTGTGAAAACATTTTGCGATGCGAGCTACGTCTTTGTGGTGACGTCTCTGGCACCGATCTGTGCTTCTCCCAATTCAAAGAGTTAGATGACCGACTGAAGGTACGTGCGAGAGGCGACTGTGTAGGCGAGGTTGGCGACAAGAACCCGGTCGAACGTTCTTGTAGGTGGTTCGATTCGTTGTAAGCTTTGAAGAGCGCGACTAGGGCTGGGTAGTAGTATTTCATATCCTGCTCATCAGCGTCGCTCTGGTCATGAAAGCCATCGATGCTGCCTTTGAACATCTTGTAGACGCTGGTACGCCATGAACAATGGTCGATGATATCTCTGCCCCTGTTCCTCTCTTTACAGAGCTGGTCATCGAGGTAGCGCAGTCGCTCATAGCCCTCGTCGCCAAAACGGATGAACTGAAAACTGAAGGGGCGATTGCCTGTGCGCAAATTTGCGGCCTGAGCAGCATCCTGAGCAAGATCGATGATGGCGTCATCGAACACGTCGTTGTTTGTCTTCTTCCAAAGGCCATCCGTAAGCACCAAGAGGGTGGTTGCCGACTTGCCTTTGGTTCTCCAATTTTCAGCGATCCTGAAGAGGACTTCCAGCATATTGGTCTGCGAGTCTTTGTGGTCTATGTTATCCGGCGCCGCGTTCAGCAGAGCCTTCCTCAGTCGCTGCCTTCCGCCGTCCCCGACAAGAGCTTTAAGATTGTGTGCATCTCCGTCGACCGTAAAGTAAACATCAATACCGTCTCTATCTAACCCCGCTGCTTTCATAGCAAGAGTCTCTGCTACGAACATTGCGATTGGCCAGTGTTGGAACATCGTTGCGCCGTTATCAATGATCAAGACCTAAAGGGGATTTAGCTCCAGGATACTTCCCTCGCTTTCATGATTAGACTTACTAGATCACGGGAAACGCTAAAAGTAGGAGCAAGATTAGAGTCTGGTTTTCTATCCTCCCAGCCAAATTTGCTCTTGACCTTAGCCCGGATACCTTTGGGCGTCCCCATTTCAAGAAGCTTTCGCTGCTGACAGACATCGTACGGTAGATCAAAGACCTCGGACGGAACGTCTTCAAAGTTTGTAATAGCGCTGTTTCTGTCTTGCTCACGATCAAACGGTGCGGCCTCACTCACAATTCGTAGGCCTTGAAGGACTCCGTCTGTTAGAGGGCTCGTTGCACTGGAATCAAGACGGTGGGGGAGTCCGGGATCAGGACTTCGTACCACTGGCATTTCGTGAACAGATCCCGCGTGATTTGGCGGATTGTATACAGAGGTCCCCGGTTGCTGGCTGTGCACGGAATTGTGAAGTACCTCTGCGTCTCTCGATCTGTGACTGGGTAGGTCTCCACGAGTCTCTACTTGATGGCCGACATGTTTGAAGTGCCCAATACCGTCACTTTCGTTTTGTGGACCTCTGAACCGAGTAAACTCAGCCGACAGAGTGATACTATTCGAGAGTGCGCCGGAGTGCGATAGACTCGCAGGTTCTGATGATGGCCCAGAGGTATCCTCCATGACGAGTTCCTTGTGTTTCGAAGAACTCGAGGGGTCTGTAGCGGAGTGCAATGGTTTCAGATTTGTCTCATACTTCTGATCTGTTGACCGAAAGGTTTGTGTTCGATCACTAATAGCATCAGATGATCCTGCGTGATTCGCGTCGAGGCCTTCTTCATGACCTTGCCCACGAGGACCAAAGTCGTGATGCGCTTTTACAGGCAATTGGAGCACGCCGTTGTCTTCTGCTGTTGGTACGGATAATGTGAGGGACGGTATCGTATCTTGACCGTGGTCAGATTTGGTGTGGATACCGATAGCACCAGCACTCGGAAACGACTCTTTCAGAATTCCTGACGTTGGATATTGACTCTCTGGAAAGTTTTCTTGTATAGGACTTTCGGTTGTATCACCGCGGTGGTACTCTTTGGTGGACGAATTGGCTTCTTCGCTGATGACATAGGATCGATCTGCTAGCTCGCTTTGCAGTATCTCCCGCCTGTATGGTGTCAGACCTAATCTTCTGCTTTTTCTTCTCTCTTCTTTCTGTGTCTGTATAGATGATCTTGGGCGTGGATCAATTGGCGGCGCATCTGTCGTAGCGTTCAAACGTTGTTGTAGAGGGTTGGTCGTCTGTTCAGACGACCTTTGGAACTCAGCAGTCTGTTCCACTTCGAGAAGTGCTCTCAGAACTATAGCATCTGTATCTTTCGAATTGTGTTCGAGATCGTTAATTCTGTCTTCAGCAGATCTTAGGAGGTGCTTGAGCTCTTGGCACAGTCGGCTAGTATCGATTCTGCGCAGGGGCTCCTGCTGCAGCATCTTGAGCTCTATAAGGTCAAGGACCAGAGGAGTGGCTGTGTCGGAAGGGCGGAGATGTCCTCGTAGGAAGTCGTGCCATTGCTTGATCTCAGGCAAAACATCGTAGCCGTTATGGAACCGATCGTAAATTTGCCCATTAACCTTGTTGGCCGGAGACAACTTTCGTAGGACTTCGTATTGGCGAACGCCCTGGAAGCCTAATGCAATCCATGTGGCCGCCACCGATAGAACGCAGCCGAACGACCAGATATCGATGGATTGGGTAACACTAGACAGCGTTCCATTCGACTGCTTCATCGATACTTCAGGGGCACCTAAACTCGTCAGCGAATGTTCACGTAGGATGTCTCGCGGCTTACTTGCCGTATGTATCTGTGAAGCCGTCGATCAACTCTGTGGGGACAGCTCCGTGTGGATTTCTCACCGCAGGTGCAAATCTACAAAAGCCGAAATCCGCTAGCTTCATACGTCCACGCACAAGAAGGATGTTATCTGGCTTTATATCTGCATGCCACCTACTTTAATCAGTATTAGTCTTGTATGGTACAATGTTATTGTAGCTCACCCGTTGAACTTTAACGACGGCTTCTCTTTGCCACGTTGGACCTCAAGATTGTGGATGTGTCGGATGGCATCTGCAACCTCAAAAATGGACTTCCACGTTCGAATGATCTCTCTCGCACGCACTGGTGGGACGTTTTTCTCGTCCTCCCAAGCCTCGTAGAGATCTCGCTGGCCCCATTCAAGCAAAAGATTGTATGTCGTTCCCGCATCCGAGCCCTCTCCATATTGATGAGTGTAGCAACCTAGATAGCGTACTATTGGAACTGTTTCCTTATGTTTTAAGCCTAAGAAGGCTTGTTTCTCTAGATCGTAGGCGGTTCGGTATTTGCCGGTGTAGGACTTCAATACCATTTGGTAACACTGCAACGAATTAGTAAGGATAAGATGCACACCGTAAGTCATGCATTGAACCCATTTTGACTTACCTCTCCGAATTCTTTATCTTGATAAAGCGAGTCTTGTAAAGCGTTCTTGAGACTGTCGTCAGATAGCAAGTCTTTCTGGACAGTGACCCAGTATATAGAAGCAGTGCCTCCCTTATCCCCGAGTATGACCTTGCGACAGAAAGGCGGGATGACTCTTGTAAATTGTAGATAGCGATCCATGTGTAACTCAAGCTTGAGAGGACAGTATGCCCATCGCTCTCGTTGGAAGTCTCCGATGATCTTTTCGACGTCGTCGTGACTAGGTACAATAGCCAGGCTGTTGCGTAGAGTTGCCTCACTGTTTGGCGTTATTTTTTCCAAGTCGCGATCATCGATTCCGGAATTATGGAAGCGCTCGATCAGATGATGTCGACCCTGCGTTAACAGCAGGCTGAAGACAGTAAGGCAGGTATATTCTCCAGAGAAAAGCTTTTGCTCTACAGGAAACAGCTGATGTTCGGCCGGCTCGAGTTCGTCAAGTAGTCTTTGCAACTTTGTTTGACCCGTCGACTCAGATACCGTTCGCTTCCACCATCTTTTGAGATCCTCGACGTGGACAATGTAGCGTAGGCAGCTACATTGCTCGGGTGGGTCGCATTGATTCTGACATGCTACTGACAGAGTCCACTGCTGCTTCAATAGGTGCAGGAATTCGCGCAGGGTTTGAGAGGCGTGTGGTTGGACAGTGTGAGCCATTGCGACGTGGTTCCAATCGTCGACGAGGCTGCTGAGGTCACATGGGAAATGTCGAGAAGAGTAAGTGACGCTAAATATGCTGTGTTGGGCTTTCTAGAGTCGCGGACCAAAGAGTCGCTTGGAAGTGTTGCGCAAAAGACGATAGGCAGCGCAGGGTCGGCCAAGAGCATAGGAAGAGCTATGAGTCGAGGGTGAAGAGCCCCAGATCGCTTTAGAGCGGGGCGCGTAGTTATCATCTCTGCATGACTAGAGCTCTGACCAGGCGACTTGACAAGGCTACTTGAAGCCTTGCCAATTCGGTGGATGTGGATGGACTGTGGCTGCAGCGAGCTGATGACATGGATTAAGGCAACAAGGCTGAACTTTGAGAACACTTTCGGATGGGCTGAGCATGAACTGCAACTGCGGAAATTAAGACAGAAAAACTAGCTTGCAGTGGCTTAGAAGCTCGTACGATATGCAGAAATGTAATTCTTAAGACAGCTGTAGTTATATAGTCTTCTGGACAGTGAAAGAGCGCGCTGATGAACGCCGGTTCGCTAAGCGCGGCCCTCGCCCCCACCCACCATGATGCTCCCGCTCCGCCCCAGTCGAGTCCACCTTTGCATGCTAGTTTGACACCGCCATGTCTGCCGCCTTTGGTGATGCGGTCATTGTAGGCTATGCTTGTTCTCCTCTTACAATCTTTCGCACTTTCCTGCAGTGACAAGGGCTTGCAGTGCGGTCTAAAAAGGCAAATTAACCACTTCTACCCTTCAGCCGGCTACAGCTCGGCTAACGTTGTGCGATGGCAAGACAGAACCATTAGTCTGCTGCCATCTCGCGTTACGCGGCGAAAGCCTGGAGAGAGCGATCGAAACTACGTTCTCGACTCGCCTTAACTTCCCCGAATTTGTGGCTCCGAAGACATATGAGCCATCTTGGGGTGATTTACGTATATGAAAGCTGTTACGGGAAGAGATGAAACTACGCCTCAGTCGAGTTGCGAGAGTAACACCTTGAGCCGATGCAGTGTATAGTCTGTATGTAGACCACGCGCCGAGAAGCGTCAATGCAGTCAACGGTATCGTCACCTGAAGCCATCGCTTCAAGGCAAGAGACGAAAAGGACTGGTTCTGGAAATCAGAAGACTGGCTTGGGCTCTGATCCTGGTCTTGATATTTGATAACATCAGTACTAAAGAATGTCTAATATAGTCAGCAAAGGATGTGGATTTTGAGAGTGTGACTGACCGAAACAAAGGTGGCCGGAAGGTATATCAGGGTTACGATGGTGATGATTCGCATGACAACAGCTTCACGTTCGAGGTTCCTGTTGAGCTGCTCAGTTCTTTCGGAGGCCTGACTCTGCAAATGCTGCAAGACAAGCTCTTTCCTGTCGCTTATGATGTTCGCCAGCAGCCTTGCTCGAGCGATCTGCATTTCAAAGTCGTCGATAATGCTATCGAGCTGCGAAAAGAACGCGATAAGTTCATCTTCACACGCATTCCGTAGTGGAAGCGGGAAGTCTTTTCTCGCGATGAGATCCGAATAGAATTTGCGCAACGACCGCAAGACCTTGGCGTTGGCCTCCAGAACCATGACGACCTCATTGGTCTTGTCTTGCCAGTGCTGCAAGTCTTGTAAATCTCTTGGCTCATAGTTTTGGTGTGCGTAGCCATAGCCCCGGGGACCGTCGACAGCCATACTACTCTGCGAAGTTTGGAGTTAGCGTTTCCCATGAGAATCATCATGATAATGCGTACCTCTTCATCTACGATCTCTTCAAGCCAAACAATATACCACCTCCAGTCCTCGGTTGACCACTGACAATAGAGCAAATGCGTGGCAAGGGTTGATCGAAAACACGACGCGAGGTCATCGTAGGCTCCCTGTCCTGGCCGCACGCTTGGTCCGACCAGTTCTTGATAGCGGTCCAGGATATCCAGGCCCCCTTTCGTCACGATCCAAAGCGTAGTGCCATACTCAACATCGAACTGATGGTAGAAGGCAGCGTCCCGGATTGACCAGTCAGTGGGTTCGGGTTTCTCTGAGCCCCTCTTCTCAAGATGCACACTTTTGAGGTTGTAGCAAAGCTGGAAGATCTTACCACTACGACCTAACTCTGGTATTTCGTGGTGTCCGCTGGTGGGGGGTTTCAATTGGATCTGATCACGAAAGCCGCTAAAACGAAGGTCTTTCGCATCGCTTTTGGATCCGAACACAAGCATAAAATCAAGGTATACGGGCATAATCTGGTGATAGGACATGATTTGGCACAGACTTTCGCGAGTAAGCTTCAGCTTGTCGCGAGAGTTCTCTGCGTAGATACAACTGTATCGATTAGCAAAAGCTCATATACGTGCTCAGTGTTTTGCATACATAAAGCGGCACTTGGGGTCTTTCTTCCGGGTGATGACCTGCTTGACTGTGGGATCGCTGGCATCGGATAATATGTCTACACCGAGCCATTCGCTGAGCTTCGCTGCCGAATGTATATTTTTTGGAACCAATGCTAAACAGTCTTAGTAATGACCAATTTGTTGTTTCGCTAAGTTCACCTTTCCCATCGGCTGTTCCGATGTCTATGATCGGGATCTCAAATATGTCATCTATGGCATCTTCGCTGTCAACGAGACAGAAATCTCGCTCGGCTTCATTGAGGCGCGTGACGTAGGAGGCAAGTTTGGTTTTATACGTGAATGTCCCGCTTGGAACGAGGTTGGCAGGGTAGCTTTTGCGGTGAAGGTACGATGTTTGCAATTCTTGAGGCAACTTCATCCTATCCAGAGCTGCGTAGAGATGGTACAGATGAGAAGATGGTAATTCAGTGAGCTTGTGATGGCTTCGAGGACAACAGTGAGCACTCCATAGTGAAATAGTTCTTGGACTCGATCAGCCACACCAGGCAAAACATCAAGAGTTACTGCGGTCCAGGCGCGTGCATTCGTGATTGTTGCAGCTGAGACGCAGGGCCGAATGGGTCTGTGCATGTGCGCCTGCAGCTGAGCCCCACCTTGGTATCGCGCCAAGGTTGAAAGCTGATGCCGCAGCAGGCACGATGACAGGGGCACAAAGAATCAAGACAAACGTTACATTCATTGAGTCATTATGTAAAAGCCTTCTCAGATGCCAAACTGATTCAACACTATGTACTGGTAGGAGGATCGGGATTCGAAGGTCTCCTGGTTCTTTTAGGTGCATTTCGTAAATTTGTGAGCTGCCTTCGGTCGCCCTGGAATGTCTTAGCCACTACTTGCATGGGTAGGAGATGGTCACCCCAGGTGCCAGCTTACTTCTGTCAATTTCTCCGGTACCTCAAATTGCCAGTTGTCGTTGATCTACAGGTCAAAATCAGCAAAACGTCGGAACGGTTATGAGGCATAACCCAGCTGACTTCGACTTACCTTTTCTTGTTTAAAGTCCTGCCAGTGCGGCCACTTCTTCCTCAGAAACTCCTCAATCTTCTCCCATGGAAAATCTCGGTATGCTGCGTATTTCTCTTGGACCCGGCCGATGGTTCGTTCATTGGGCAGTGTACCTCGACGTGTAGTGCGCCTCGCACGTACTGGCGCCGGTTCGGGTGGTGGCTGAGGCTGCTGCACCATCGTCACCACTTGTTGTGTGAACAGATGACACCTCTGAAACTTCCAAGGCTGTGGAGATCAAAGGTGTGGAGGCGACGATGAACAGATACCGTTCTGTCGTGGTCTCAGGCGTTGAGCTGACGCTTATCGCGAAGGCTTTTCAGGTCATGGACTGAGGGCCAGGGGCAAAAGGCTGAGGCTATATAATGGCTATTAGGCGGCCTCTGCCCGGTAACTCTATCTAGACAATGTCAAGGTAGGTGCCTGTTGTTGCTGCAAGAACGCCGCCACCAGGACTTATGCACGAGGACTGCATTACAATCAGTCGACTTGCAAATGGACCAATTCTACGTGTTAGTATTCCTGCAAAACTCCTAGGCAGCCATTCAGCTGAGGTAATACGGCGGGGGCCCATGGTATGCCTGCTTTTGCCTAATGCGAACGGTGTAGCCTACGGCTATGTTATTGGCCAACAGCCTCAGCCACTTAATATCTTAATATGCATCTCCGTCACATCGTAAATCATGGGAGATCATTCCATCTCTACACATGGTCTGGCCCTCTTATTCTCGAGCAGAGCCGCATCACGTGAAGGAGGACAGCATTCCACATCTATGAGGTAGTGTCGCCAAAGCACAAATTCAATGACAACCCTGAAACACCTGTAAGAGGACGATTGATCATAGAGGCGATATACCGTCCTTGAACCTGTGAATTACCCTGCTCCAATCCTGTCATGTGCGCTGGCGTAGAAGTTGGACAGCCGCGTGAAGACAGCACGCATACTAGTAGTGAACATAAGGTATCCGCGTGCCTGCTACCACACTACCTAGGTATCTTATACAGTCATCAAGATTCCATAATGACACAAAACGCGCCACGAGGAGATCCGCTTGAGAGCTATGGGCGAGAGAACCGCGCAGCACCGAAGCTAGGCCAACCACAAGTCCACGACTTCGCCAGGACCGTTTACGATGATGAGGTACCTGCACTCAAGCAAGAGTTTTTGTCAACTGCTGAGGTGGTCCCTCAAGGCTTAGATCCCACACGGCTCACGTCTCCAGAACCAGGTAGTAGTGGCAACGGCACTAACTCAGGTCAAAAGACCCTGACTGCAGAAGAGAAGGACCAGTGTCCGTTCGGCGACACTCGCTGGCCTCCGCCTAACGTGTCGATATCCAAGCCCTTACATCTCTTGAGTGAAAAAAGTGAGAAGCCAATATATTATCACCTGGTATATGAAAACAGCTCCCCTCAGGCGGACTTCTGGAAAGGACCTTTGAAGGCTCAAGCTACCGCTGCCTACGCAGAGAAGGGGATTGCCTTGTCTATATCAAAGGAAGGGAAAGGTAAGAAAGAGATGAAAGCTGCAAAACAGAGAGCGCTTGAGGAAGAAGCCCCGAAAGCGAAGATGGAAATCTTACAGGCTAAGAATACAAAGATGCTAAAGGAACTAAGCGGCGGACCAAGGGGAACGATCTGGCAGCTTGACGAAGGACATCTACATATCTGGAAATGCATCGAGGTAGTTCAGAAGGTGACAGGGGCGGTAAGTCTTAGTGCAGACTGGCGAGAAATATTCTCCATGTTTGGTGTTGGTCTCAAGAGTATCAATGGCGATATGTTGCTAGTCAGTCAGAAGGCCAAAGTACCCACCTAGGTAGCTGATGTGATGATTAAGGTGTGCGGTCAACACACGATACTCTCTACAAAGGACCTGCACACGATATCTTGTGAGCCCACAGCATAGTAAAATTTTGGATGCTGACAAACATGGAAAGGTGAGGCTGGAGATGGAGTTACGGAGCAAAGCCGAGGCTAGCTGGCGGATGTGGTCATAGCGCCTTCTCGATGATTCCAGTGGTCGACCGACCCAAATTTTTAGAGGCATCGAACATCTGCGACCACTCTTCTCCGCATCCTCCTCTACATCAATCCTATTCCTGGTTATCTTGCATTAAGCTGGAGTCTAGGAGCAACATTTGAGCTTCCTTTCCTCTACCCACACATCCCCAATTCCCTCACAATGCAAAGAGCTTTCGCATCGCGGGCGCGGACTTCGGCCCTCAACTCGAGCTCTAAGCTCCGATCAACCAGCTACAACCTCCAGCAACAGAGGTTTGCGCACAAGGTATGGCAGTCGTATGCCTTCGGTATGCAGAAAGGCAAAATCTAACAAACATACAGGAATTGAAGTTTGGCGTCGAGGCACGAGCGGGACTATTGAAGGGTGTCGACACACTTGCAAAGGCTGTATCAACAACACTCGGTCCCAAGGGTCGCAATGTATTGATCGAGTCGAGCTACGGCTCACCAAAGATCACCAAGGGTATGTAGAAATTTTGTTGTCGTTGTCAACATTGCCCGCTAACATTACTTCAGATGGTGTAACTGTCGCAAAGGCCATTTCCCTCCAGGACAAGTTCGAGAACCTCGGAGCCCGCCTGCTCCAGGATGTCGCCTCCAAGACCAACGAGGCTGCTGGTGACGGTACCACCACTGCCACCGTCCTCGCCCGCGCTATCTTCTCCGAGACTGTCAAGAACGTCGCTGCCGGATGCAACCCCATGGACCTGAGGAGGGGAACCCAGGCTGCTGTTGAGGCCGTCGTCGAATACTTGAGGGCGAACAAGAGGGACATCACCACCAGCGAGGAGATCGCACAGGTCGCCACCATCTCTGCCAACGGCGACACACACATTGGCAAGCTTTTGTCCAACGCCATGGAGAAGGTCGGAAAGGAGGGTGTCATCACCGTCAAGGAGGGAAAGACCACCGAGGATGAGCTTGAGGTTACCGAGGGTATGAAGTTTGACCGTGGTTACATCTCCCCTTACTTCATCACCGACACCAAGACCGCCAAGGTCGAGTTCGAGAAGCCCCTCATTCTCCTCTCCGAGAAGAAGATCTCCGCAGTCCAGGACATCGTCCCCGCTCTCGAGGCTTCCCAGCAGCTCCGCCGTCCTCTCGTCATCATTGCTGAGGACATTGACGGTGAGGCTCTTGCCGTCTGCATTCTCAACAAGCTCCGTGGCCAGCTCCAGGTTGCCGCTGTCAAGGCTCCCGGCTTCGGTGACAACCGCAAGTCTATCCTTGGCGATCTCGCTGTCCTGACCAACGGTACCGTCTTCAGCGATGACCTTGACATCAAGCTCGAGAAGGCCACCCCCGACATGCTCGGCTCCACCGGATCCATCACCATCACCAAGGAGGACACCGTCATCCTTAACGGTGAGGGAAGCAAGGACCAGGTCTCCCAGCGCTGCGAGCAGATCCGTGGCGTTATCAACGACGCTACTACGTCCGAGTACGAGAAGGAGAAGCTCCAGGAACGTCTGGCCAAGCTCTCTGGTGGTGTTGCCGTCATCAAGGTCGGTGGCTCCTCCGAGGTTGAGGTTGGTGAGAAGAAGGACCGCATTGTTGATGCCCTGAACGCCACCCGTGCCGCCGTTGAGGAGGGTATCCTGCCCGGTGGTGGTACTGGTCTCCTCAAGGCCTCTGCCAACGCTCTCGGCAACGTCAAGGCTGCCAACTTCGACCAGCAGCTCGGTATCACCATTGTCAAGAACGCCATCACTCACCCCGCCCGCAAGATCGTCGAGAACGCCGGTGCTGAGGGCTCCGTCATTGTTGGCAAGCTCATTGACGAGTACAAGGGCGACTTCAACAAGGGATTCAACAGCGCCAAGGGCGAGTACGTTGACATGATCGCTGCTGGTATCCTTGACCCCTTCAAGGTTGTCCGCACTGCTCTCGTTGACGCCAGCGGTGTTGCCTCGCTTCTCGGTACTACCGAGGTCGCCATTGTTGAGGCACCCGAGGAGAAGTCTGGTCCTCCAGGCGGCATGCCTGGCGGTATGGGAGGTATGGGAGGCATGGGCGGAATGGGCTTCTAAGCAAATGAAGCCTAGCCGTCTGTTTTCTTCTTCTTATACCCCCATTCCGTTATAATGACTTTAGTCTTATGTCTTTCCCGGTGATGATTTATGTACACGATATTGGGTTGGTCTCCGCTCTTCACTCATGGTTTCTCAAAAGCGCAGCATTATTGGATATTTGGTTTTTATTGTACAATATTGTGTAAAGATCTCCTGGGAAGGACAAGATGTATAAAGCGATGAAGGAATACGAACAAGTCAAACATGTAATCACCATGCACAACTATGCTTGAGTCTATGCTCCATTTATGAATGTCGTGATGCATAGGATTGGCCGATACCCTGTCATAACTGGGGCACACGGTTGCTGTGGCGCCGCAGAGGGACAAACTAAACCTTGGAATGGGTGCCGTGTTGCACCCCACTACGTCGCTTGAAAAGACCCCACTACTTTCCCTCAGCCTCAGAACACCGCTCCTCCGCCTCCGCCCTTTCTCCCGCATTCACATCGACTATCCACCACAATCAGTTTTCTCTATTGACGTAAGCTGCAATCCCTCCATCACCAAGCAGGCAACCGTTGATCCACTGCTGCATCTGCGCACGCGGCAATCGCGACGATGACGACGACGCTGACAGGCAACCACAGAACTGATAAAGCTACCTGGTGCTTCAATCTCTCTCTAGCATCCTCTACTATACACATCCGACATCATGGTGAGCACCTTGAAGATACGCAGCTAGAACGACTGAACTGACAATGTCTGCAGGCTCAATCCGGGTACGTACTGCGAAACAAACAAGAGGGCACCAACAGCTGTCGCTGCCCGACAACCGCTTCAGCATAGCCTCCCCATACCTCGACCCTCGACCCCCGTCCCGCCAACCCCTAGCTCGGACCCGCATATACTAATAGCCACGCAGTGTCTCCGTCTCCCCTGAGTGCATCAGCACCTTCAACGAGCTTAAGCTTGGCAAGGACATCAAGTGGATCATCTACAAGATCAGCGACGACTGGAAGGAGATTGTCGTCGAGGAGACTTCCAAGGAGGCCAACTTCGACGTCTTCCGTGAGAAGCTGCTCAACGCCAAGAGCAAGGACCGCCGCGGCAAGGAGGGCATTGGTGGTCGCTACGCCGTTTTCGATGTCGAGTACGAGCTTGACAACGGCGAGGGCTCCAGGAGCAAGATCACTTTCATCAGCTGGACACCAGATGATGCGCCACAATACGTATGTCACGAAAACATAATTCCAGAAGGAAGGTTCACTGACACTTTGACAGCCCCGCATGATGTACTCGTCCTCCAAGGAAGCCATCAAGCGCGCTCTGAACGGTCTCGCCGCCGATATCCAAGCCAACGACGCCGACGACATCGAGTTCGAGAACATCAAGAGCCGCGTCGCCAAGGGCCGTTAAGCGCTTCTCTTCCCTCCCCCGCTTCCGACCTGTCGATTTTGTGCACCTGTTAGTATGGAGGAAGGAAACTATAGCGGTTGGTAATGACACATGACGAAAACGACTCGAGCGGTTGATTGGCAGCGATCATGGCATAGCGAGTTTTTGCGAATGATGGTTATCGCATACATCATGCGACTATGCGGGCAGTGGTAGTGCCGGGTGCAACTTGCATTATCAGGCTTGGTATGCTTTTGATAGGCTAAAGCTGGTCAAGTTGTCTTCGATGGACATCTCTTGAGACTGAGAGCTTGTATGACGTGACGTGTGCGAACTTGTTTGTAATGTTTGTGCCTGATATGTTGCAACGTGTAATGCTCATCCCCAGCAACTATGTCGGTCCGCTACTTGCTGTGTTCCCATGCGCCCCTGAAGACGCCTAGTAGCCTTTCGCTCTCTTCCGCATCCTTGGTTCTCTGTAGCACAAAGTTCTTCAGATCGCCCCAGAACTCTTCTGTCGCAACAACTTCCTTCCCACTCCCAGCCGTCGCACCTGCTGTCCCAGTCGCTGTACCCGCATGCGTCTCGCCCGCACTAGCAAGTCCCTTCTCACTTTCCGTAGGCGGCGCAACAGCGGGTGGACTTGTCACTGGCGTGCTTCCACTTGCCGGACTCGCAGCCCCGCCAAGCGCAGCGCCCGCCATAACCATGACGCCAAACTCTACCTCGCTGCCTGCATCTGTACCAATGACTTCTAGCAGTGTCTTGGAATCTGTGACTGGCTTCTTCTTGTAAAGAATCTTTATCTTGGCTGGCTGTAAAGAGGCTTGTGTTGCGTATTGTTGCTTGAGGTCGTAGATGGATGTTTTTGAGGGGTCGATTAAAGAGAGGGGAATGGTTGGGGTGGTCGGCTTCATGGGCTTGAGCGTTACGGTGATCGTGGACGAAGAAGAAGTGGTGGCATCGTCGCCTGCGACTGGCTTGGGGTTTGGACGCTGTGGGTGGGGTGGGTGTGGGAGGCGGGGAAGTGTGTACTGGTGAGCGGTCAGTTTTCTTATCATGATGGCATGCATACATATGTTCCATGAGATATATGATGGAGAGACTTACAGCGCCTTGTGCGGGATATTGTCGTGCGTCTGCGATGTGGTCGCTGCTGAGCTTCGCTGGGCGCGCGTCCAGTGCGCTGAGAAATGATTTGCAGAATGCGAGTTCTGACATGATGAGATATCTGACACCTTTTTTTCGTAGGACGTGCAAGTGAGTTTGTGGTTGTCGCGCTCGTTAAGACGTGTATAGCTCCAATGCGATGACGCTGTTGGTGTTGCGGGACAGCATTGAGTGGACCGCACCTCGACCAGGGCAAATCTACGCTAGACCCGAAGGAGGTCCGTAGCGTGGAAAAAGTTCCCATCTGCTAGCGAAAGTTCGCAGTTCGCGCAGGCGTCACGTCGCCAACTCTCAACCTATTCGACCTTTTTCCATACTACCCACCGCAAATCAAGCGATAAATCTGTCGCCATGGGTCAAGGTCGCCGCATGAAGAAGCAGGGCATGCCCGACGTCCTCGACGAATCGCTAGTAACCAGGAAGCGAAAAGATGCGCCCGTCGCCGTAAACCCAGAGCGCAAGAAGAGGAGTAGGACAGCTGCAAGAGAAGCTAAGGAAGCCAAGGCGAAGGCGACACCCAAGACGAGAGTAGCTGGAAAGCCCGTCAAGCAGCCTCTCAAGACGGCTGCTGCTGTCGTAAACGGAGCGAAAGCAAAGTCAAAGAAGTCAGCACCTCAGCCGCCATTGGATGACGAAGACGATGTCTCAGACATTGAAGACTCTGACATGGAGAACATCAACGTCACTGGGCTCGATGCCCTCGGTAGCGCGTCCGAAGACGAAGACGACGAGGAGATGAACGACGACGAATTCGACTCGGACGTTGTGGACTCGGACGACGACATCAGGAGGGGCGCAGCCATGTGGTCAGACGACGACGATGAGGAGGATGCTGAAGAGAAGCTCACAGCCGCTAACATTGCCGGATTGTCCACACGCTTGGATATGCAGAAGGCGATCGAGGAAGCGGAGGCGCAAGCTGAGTTGGAGGAGAACAACATGCAGACGAACATCGCCAATGAGCGACCCAAGATTCTGGAGGATGAGGAGGACGAGGATGGTAGGCCAATCACCAACCTTGTCAACCAGGATATTCAACTGCTGCGCACAAGACTCACGGACACCATCCGTGTGCTGGACGACTTCAAGAACCTTGCTGAGGAAGGTCGGAGTAGAGCAGAGTACAGGGCGTCGCTCCTGAAGGATATCTGTGCCTACTACGGTACGTCCAAGTCTGAAGTTATCGTCTAGAGCTATACTAACATCATGAACAGGCTACTCCGAGTTCCTTGCAGACAAGCTTCTGAACCTCTTCCCTCCTCGCGAAGCCCAAGCTTTCTTCGAAGCCAACGAGACCCCAAGACCGGTCGTCATCCGAACAAACACCCTCCGAACACACCGAAGAGAGCTTGCGCAGAGCTTGATCAACCGTGGTGTACAACTTGAACCCGTTGGAAAGTGGTCTAAAGTCGGTCTACAGATTTTCGATGCACAAGTGCCTCTGGGTGCTACACCCGTAAGTTCTATATGCGACAGATGCAATGACATCCGACACTAACTTGCGCAGGAATACCTCGCTGGACACTACATTCTCCAAGCCGCTTCCTCGTTCCTGCCCGTCATGGCCTTGGCACCTCAAGAAAACGAGCGCGTGCTCGATATGGCTGCTGCTCCCGGTGGAAAAACTACACATTTGGCCGCTTTGATGAAGAACACCGGATGCATTTTCGCCAACGACGCCAACAAAGATCGTGCCAAGGGTTTGATCGGTAACATCCACCGTCTAGGCGCAAAGAACGTCATCGTGTCCCACTACTCGGCTCTCGAATTCCCTAGGGTTATGGGTGGTTTCGACCGTGTGTTGCTCGACGCTCCATGCTCTGGTACTGGTGTCATCGCCAAGGATGCCAGTGTCAAGACCAACAAAACCGAGGCAGACTTCTTGAGGCTGCCCCATCTTCAGAAGCAGTTGCTGCTCGCGGCCATTGACTCTGTCAACCATCACTCAAAGACTGGAGGCTACATTGTCTACAGTACTTGTTCCGTCACCCTAGAGGAGAACGAGCAAGTCGTACAATATGCGTTGAACAAGCGATCGAACGTCAAGCTCGTGGAGACCGGACTCACCTTTGGTAAAGAAGGATTCACCAACATCGGCGGAAAGATCTTCCACCCCTCAATGAAGATGACAAGGAGATATTACCCCCACACTTACAACGTCGACGGTTTCTTCGTCGCCAAGTTCAAGAAGATCGGACCCACACCTCCCAACGCCGTTGGTGTCAACGAGGCTTCGACTGCGAAGACCAACAACACCGCCAACACCAAGGACGCAGCTACTGAAGTCGAGATGGTCGACCGCACACCTATCGGTGCTGACAGCGACGAGGAATCAGACTTTGGTGGCTTCGATGAGGAGGAAGACGCGAAGTACATTGAGAAAGCAAAGGCCAAGACCATGCGCAGGAAGGGCAAGGATCCCAGGGCTGTCGTACCAAAGGGCGAGAAGTCTGCCAATGGCACGCCAGAGAAGAAGGCGAAGGAGGCACCCAAGGAGGCCACGAAGGAGGCACCCAAGGCTAAGAATGGTGATGTAAGTGTGAAGGAGAAGTCAGGCAAGAAGGAGAAGAAGGGCGGTGGCGTTGAAGTCGCTACTACCTCGAATGGTGTCAGCGCAAAGGAAACCAAGGTGGAATCGAAGAAGGCGCGGAGAAAGAGTGGTGAGAAGAAGAACAAGGCGTAGTGATTTGAAGTGCAAAACAGAGGAGACAAAAGCAGGAGTTTTGGGCTCTTACTAGATACCAATGCATGATCAGAAGAGTTTTATCGTCGATGAATCAGTGTCTTCATCTGTCTATGTGTTTCTCAATTCAGTTCTCAAATTGTGACTTCCTAACTACCTGTACAGATGCCTGTTTGAACTGATTATCGCAGTTGTGACCCACCTAACAAGGCTACCAGGGAAGCTTGTTAGGTGGGTCGCGACTGACCATGCTATGCATTTGCAATCTCCAGTAGACTATCACCACTACTACCGTGATCGTCACGTCGTGGTGAGGTGCGCGCCGTTTTTCTTCAAACAAATGAGCGGCTCTTTCCGATTTGGTAGTGCTGCCGTAGTTACTAAATTAGCTGCCAGTCTTATAGTTCTCGCGATCGAACATCAATCATCGCTGCACTTTCGGTGGCGCGCTTTCGCAACCAATTTTTCATCATCTCGCCGTGGACTGGAGATCGATGGAGAGCTTTCATTGCAGCCTCAGGCAAAAAGATTGCTGAGGGCACGATCAAGTCGTGATGGCGCAAAAAAGCGTCCTCGCAGCTTCTAACGATGCATCAGTGCCCTTAGGGGCCGCCGGCGCCACCAACGGGCCTGTCAGCCTCCGCAACTAACCCCGGAGTACCTCCACATTTCATCAACCTCAACCGTTGATTGAACCATCTTTCCATGCCCCGAGAATATCCCTACAGTAGAGACATTCATGGATACAGTAAGACCGAAGTCACGGCACGGCACATGTCAAGCATGCTTGCTCAGTCGGCCATTCATCATCGATCACGCTATCCAGGTGCTGCGCCGAGAGTGTATTCGAGTCACCGCATCGGTCCAAGCAATGCCGAGCTCTGAAAAGCGAAAGGAAGCGAAGGCTTATTGGCTCGAAGGATCGCACGGCAAACTATACGCCTGAGCAAGACAAACATCACGAGCACATGTTCCAATGCCTCTTCTGATAGCGTTGACAACAAGACAGGGTGGCGCTGCATGCGACCGAAATCTGGGGCATCCAACTCCACGGTCAGCACCTTGGTGATGCGCGGGGCAAAGATGCCTGAAAATGTTTTGCTCACATCGCACCGAGAATCCTACCGACAAGATCTCCACTCCAGTTCCTGGGGTTGCAAGGAGACAATCGGCCCATTCCATCTCGACATGCCGAACGCCTGACCCGATTATTGGGGAAAGTCAACCTTCTGGAAAAAGGCCTTATCCTGCTTGCAGAGAACGTGCATTCCTTGCATAACGGCTCTACCTGTACGCGCTTACACCGGAATGACCATTGACATGCTAGTGCATGTGCAAACTCGCCCGACTTGAGCACTACATCAGCCTTTGTCTGATCTGCTGACAATGTGCTATTGGATGACTACACAGGCTTTCATGATCGCTGTCTCAATATCAGCTGCCGACGTAAGTGGTGTGAGGCCAAGTCAGCATGTCGAGCACGGGGTAATAACCAGCTCGGGTACGCTCAATGGTGCCATGCGGGGACGATCCATGCAATGATACCTGGCATCGGAAACATACTAGGATTAGCAGCCTGTGATGATGCACTGAAGCTGCAGCGGCATGGAACAAGGGTTCGTCGGCATAGCAAGCTGGATGGAGAGATACTCGGGGCTAGCATTCTGAGATAAAGAGTGAATGCGCGCTCTTCTGAACGGCCTCACCGCGCGCCTCGAGCTTGCAATATCCTTAATTAACACCTATACATTGTCCAAGTGCATCTCGGCATCATGGGTTTTATGCTGAAGCCTCCGCCAGACACTGCTGGTAAGGCATGGTAAGCTTCATACGTTTTCCACATTGAGTGCTTGCCTAACGCTTGTCAAGGCCTGCCATTGTCATCGGTCTCTTCGTCGCGTTTGGTGGTGTTCTCTTCGGGTACGTTTGTACTATTGCAACGTTCAAGAGTATATATTGATTTGCCTAGATATGATACAGGCACAATTTCTGGCATCATTGCCATGGACTATTGGAAGAAGGAGTTCTCCACTGAGCCAGACCTCAGCATCACAGCTGCGCAAGATTCCCTGATCGTGTCAATTCTCTCAGCTGGTACCTTTTTCGGCGCTTTGACGGCTGCACCCTTCGGCGATCTGCTTGGCCGACGTCTTGGATTGATGGTTTCAGCCGGCGCCGTTTTCAACCTTGGAGTTATTCTACAGACGGCTGCGACAGCGCAACCGCTGTTCATTGCCGGTCGTTTCTTCGCCGGTTATGGTGTCGGTCTCATCTCAGCTCTGAGTAAGTGCACCCATCGCTTGTTGCGTTCAATTCACCACATGTGATGTGGGGTTGATCGTCAATGGTGGCTTGAACGCCCTTTGCCCCGCATCCTTGAGGCTCTGCGGGGCATCTACCTCACTTGGATTAATGCTAACAAGACGACAGTTCCTATGTACCAGAGTGAGACTGCGCCAAAATGGATTCGAGGAACGATTGTCGGAGCTTACCAGCTTGCTATCACGATCGGATTACTACTCGCTGCTATTGTGAACAATTCGACCAAGGATCGTCAAGATTCTGGATCATACCGCATTCCTATTGCGGTACAATTCCTCTGGTCTATCATTCTTGTTGGCGGGTACGTGCGAACGAGCCTCAATACGAGACAGTTAATGGCCGATGCTAATTCGTCACTAGACTTTTCTTCCTGCCCGAGACACCGAGATATCTCATCAAGATGGACAAATACGAGCAGGCTGCAAGCAGTCTTGGCAAGCTTCGTCGCTTGCCAGTCGACCATCCAGCTATCGTTGAGGAATTGGGCGAGGTTCAAGCGAACCATCTCTACGAGATGTCGTTGGGCAAGTCTACGTATGCCGACTGCTTCAAGGGAACACTTGGCAAGCGTCTCGCGACTGGATGTCTGCTCCAGGCGCTACAACAGCTTACTGGTGTAAACTTCATCTTCTGTATGTCCCTCAAATCAGCGCTGTCGTGGCCTTCTTCTGACCTATCCAGACTATGGAACACAATACTTCCAGAACGCTGGCTTCCGCGACCCCTTCATCATCCAGGTCATCACCAACTGCGTCAACGTCGCATCTACATTCCGTAAGCTTATGATGTCTGAGCTTCAGTTTGCGAAATACTAACTCTCGGATTTCTAGCCGGTCTCTACATGGTTGAGCGCCTCGGACGACGTAACCTTCTTCTTCTCGGAGCGATCGGCATGTGTGTATGCCAGTACATCGTCGCTATCACAGGAACAGTAGCCGGAACCTCCGATCTCGCCGCTCAACGAGCTGCTATCGCCTTCGTGTGCATCTATATCTTCTTCTTCGCCAGCTCTTGGGGTCCTGTTGCTTGGGTCGTGACTGGAGAACTATACCCCCTCAAGGCACGCGCCAAGTGTCTCTCGATGACCACCGCGAGTAACTGGTAAGTATAGATGCTTCTTAGACTGGTGTCAGTTCCAAAGACTAACGATATACTACAGGTTGCTCAACTGGGCGATCGCCTACTCAACCCCCTACATGGTCGACGAAGACCACGCCAACCTCCAATCAAAGGTCTTCTTTGTCTGGGGCTCCTTCTGTTTCGTCTGCATCGCTTTCGTCTGGTTCATGATCTACGAGACCAAAGGTCTTACTCTCGAACAAGTCGACGAGCTCTACGGTATCATCGGCAAAGCGTGGAAGAGCAAGGAGTTCCGCCCTGCGGTTCAGTTCGCGGAGATGGATCCTAAGACTGGGCGTAGTATGAGTCTGAGCGAGGTGGCGCAGAACCAGGAGAGGAAGAGGAGCGTGCAGCACGATGAGGCGGTTGTCCCGCCCAAGGTTGAGATCTAGGATGCGATGGGGAAGGGGGGAAGTGTATGGTGGATATAGTGATGGATAGTAATGGAAGGGGCGGAAAGTGGGATGTTTGTGGCTGGAGAAATATGTGAAGAGATGGTCGTTAAGCGGAATGTCATGAGTACAAAATGATATGCTAAGACTTAGCTGCCATAGTCGTATAACATCTTGTAATGTACACGATATTTGCTACTTATCGCGTCCATTCTTGCCAAATATCATTTTTGGTACAAAAAGGTCAATCGAGTCTACCTATGGTCACGAACGGCTTAGTCGAATTTTCTGTTAGCATGTTGAAATATACCACGGTCGAATCTCTGATTGAAATGCTGCATCTCGCTACTGGAAAGCCTGGAGACCTTGATACACATATCGAGCATGGATCATCTCGACATGCTAAGACTAGGAACATCAGCTAGGTCATGCGTAACTACAGGTGGGTTAGGAACGGAACCCATCATTTGGTTCTCATATCGTATTTTGCGTAGCTGTCCCCTCCGTCTATCTCTCGTCAACCTCGCCCGTTCTGCTTCTGCAACTGGTTCAACGATTGCATCAAATCCCAACCCGTCCCCGGATTATCGGCGCGCGGCCCATAGTCGCTAACCTTGATTTTTTCCTGACCTGGCACGTACTCGCGCTTACCGTAGGAACCTTGAGGCAAAGGCTCCTTGAAGGGATTCTGGAATATGGGTCGGTTGGAATCGTGAGCTCCCGCTTGTTGAGGCTGTGCCAATGGCTGAGCATGAGGCTGGCTGTGATGTCGTGCGCGTTGTTGGTGCTCTGCCACTTGCTGTGCCTGTTGCATATCCCACGGTCGTCGCTGTTGTATTCCTGGTTGCATTTGCGCTGGCATCATATGCATCTGTCCGGGATGTTGGAACTGATCCCTCTGCATCGCCATTATCTGCCGCGGATTGACTCCTCCCAATCCTTGAAAATCGCCGCCTCTATGGCCACCTCCTCCATGCATATCAGCTACCGGTACTGCCCTATCGTTCTCGTCGATACGAAGCGAGTGCTCGAAACCGTTATGATCCCAGTACTTAAAATGATAACCCGGTCCTCTTTGTCGTGCTTTCATGGGCATGCGTCTACCTCCTCCGTTCAGCAGGTCGCATAACTCGCGGGCTGCATCTGCTTGTGCGGAATGAGAGTGGTAGGAGAAACGATCCGGCCCTTGTTCTTTTCTGCCGAAGATACCCATGTTGTGGTTGTGAGAAGCTATAGAACTAGCTGAGCCTTGAAGGTGGGAGAAATCGAGGACAGCGGATGTCAGTATTGTGCGTTATGCTGTGTGACCTACACTATGTGAAAGGCAGGAGTTTGATTTACAGCGGTCGGGCTCATGTGAATACGTGTAATGTGACCCGGGTGGCGATTATTCAAATAGATGATGGATTCTGATATCATGGATGAGACTGACCACTAAGAAAGCAAGATCGGTGTCATCAACAACATCAAAAGTCACATGCAGGTACCTTAGTAACCGGTCAGAGGGGGTAATGCCACCCAGGCCGCACTCTAGATTCACCATGTAGGCATGATTATGACATATCACCGTTATCAAATCACTCAAAACTAACCATCGTGGTCTTCGAACAGGAGGTCAAGTATGTAACCCAAACTTTTGATTTTTTACCTATGGTATCCGTCAAGCTATGGTATCCTATCTCAAACCTGGACTGACCAAAGCCATGTAGCTCACAAAAGAACCCGATACACCGTGAATTTAACCAGACCGTCACCACATCGCCGCCTTACCCCTACTAGTGTCCTGCGTTGAATTCGTATTCATATCCGCAGTTGGAAAATGCGTCGTGTGCGAAGAAGTCATGGAAGTGGCCGGTGTCTAGATGAGTTGGTAGCGGAAAGGCTTCCTGGAGGCCTTGCTGCGAGGAGGAAGCTGGATCCAACGGGTGAATACCGGACGAGGCTTGGGAGAAGAAGCTATAAGGAGAATCATAAGTATGGTCCAACGGAGAAGACATCTCAGGAAGGAACCCACTCATGGCAGCTTGCTCAGCCTCGGACGACGCAAGAAGATCCTCATGCGAGTCGTTACTGACAAAGTCATACTCAGTATGGTCCTTGATATCCTCCTCGTAGTTCTGCGCCTCCATCTCCTTGATGTACTTCTCGAAGTCGAAGTCCATGCCAGCGCCGCGCTTGTACTGAGTTGGAACGGCTTGCTTGACAATGTCGGGGTACTTGGGACCGGAGTCACTGGGAACATTTGGAAGACCGCTAACGACAGTGATGCCTCGGCCACCAGTGGAATGGATATCATCAGCCATGGAGAACTGAGGTTCAATGGGTGCAATGTAGTTCTTGCCAATGGTAACACCACCGTGACAGTTCCTGTCAGTAAGAAGCGGAGCCTTGAGCTTGACGATAAGAGACGGACGGGACTGAGTCGTAAGGCCTTGACCTTGACCGGCTGTCTGCTGAGGCTTTGCATTAGCACTGGACGCCGAAGAAGATGCACGTTTGTTCTTGCGCGTCCACGCCATTCTCAACGATGGAATCTCGTAGCCCTCGTCGATCTGTTTGCCGCGCAGTTTCAAGATAGCCTGCTGGAGTGCGCCAGCAGTACAGCTCTCTCCAACAATCTGAGCAGCCTGGTCGAACGGTATCTGAACGCCAGTCTCACCGCAGGCCCAGACGATACCGAGGACTACGTTCTTCCAATCGTTGTCACTCCACTTGAGTAGCTTGGGACGAGGCTGGCGTGGCTTGCGGGGCACACCATCCTTGTTGATCTTTGGGATCTTGGATGGTCGCCGGTCGTCGCGATCGCTTTCGACGTAGTCGCTGTCATATGTGGGGGTATAACTCACAGGGGCAGCACCTTCCTCGATCTTGATGGGAGCGACGGCGGCAGCCTGACCAGGGAGGCCGTGGTAGGGGTTGTTGGGGTGAAGACGCGTCATGTCGTAACTGCGCTTGTTGAAGCGTTGTGGATGTTCCTCGTCAAACAGGCTAACCATATTTAGCTGGTTGTTGTGAGAGTAGGACATGATCTCCAGTACTTTAGCTACCAGAAGCGGCGAGAGACCAAGTGTCACAAAGGTTTTCTGTTCGCTGTTAGTGTGGGGTCAAACAACGGTTCATACTGAGCGCCAGAAATGGCGTGTTGTGTTCGGGCTGGGAGCGGAGGGCGATCAATAGCACACGCTACAGCGACCCAGAAAGGCTGCATCCGTGTCTCTTGAATAAATGCAGGTAGGGGGGATATAGGAGAAGCAGTAGCTAAGCCATTGCGGTACGTACCTGATAGTAGAATGCAATTCGTAAGTGTGATGCGGGTGGAGAGACGTAGGTCAACCAGCTACAAGAGGAGACCTTTGGGGAGGCAGACGAGGCGCTAGCGGCTTTGAGCTCCTGGAAAACCCAGTAACACAGGCGACCAATTTGTTTGTAGCGCGGACGTGCTCAGGGTACGCTCAGCCAAGACCCCAGCAACACGATCTTTACTCGTTGCAAACAGAGAAAGACGGCTTGAAGTACGGGAGACGCCGGAAGAACGTACACAAAGAGGTTCCTAACCGTTGCAGTCTGTATATCTTCTTTGCCGCCTTCTGTTCAGTCGAGGCTACTAAGAGTTCGTGGGCGTAGTGGCTGAAGCCGCGCAGTTAAGTCACAAAGGGACAACGTTCACCTATTATAGGCAACCCAAAGTGGTCCAGATTAAAGTTGGAAGGCCAAATGTACTTGATGCGTTTCGATTTGGATGTTGATTATGGAAAGATAGTTCGATGTTGTTTTCGTTTGAGTCCAAGTGGCTAAAGGATAGGTTGAGATATGGGATAGGGACCGGACTCTCGACCAGCTTGAAAGGGCACTGTGAAGTACTGTGTGCGAAGATAGAAGCACTACTCGCGAGCTCCGACTAGTCACTTAGAGTTGGACATGCAATTGGCTTGCTGGGTGGTATGGCCGACGATGTTCAAGTGAGAGAGCGACTTTGAGCTTTTGGGATCGTGATCTTTTAATCACAAGAGCTTTTGTAGAGAAGAGCCGGGTAAGTTTAAAGGACGAGTATTATATATCCACGAGATCTTTGTGACGCTTGATATAAGCGGTATCGGCGCGGAAAGATGATAGCGCGAAATCTGTGTGAACCACAAACACGTGAAGAGGCGTTCACATCTACGCCCTTACCCCGCGCCCACAAGTCTTGGTGACGTGGGAATCAGGGTGGCAAACCGGCGGTGACGTTTGATGTGGAGTTACTTTCGAGTTGAGGTAGAACATGTCACGGTCCGCGTCACGTTTCAAGCTACTTACCATGGAGACTTCGGGTAACAGGTATTCGTTGGACCCATATGGCGAATCGTCTCCGAAGATGTGGAGCCTTGGATGGTTTAGTTCCCAATATGGTATCTGTGATCCTCTTTGTAGACTTCCGGCTCTTTATGTTTCTTGCGTAGTATGCCCGATCAGCAACATACCAGTTGTATTCGATTATGTCTTGACCGAAGTGGCTGAAGATGCTGGGGACTTAAAAGCGTAGGTGGCTGTTCGGATAGGTAGCTACAGGGTTTAGCAGAGATGGACGAAATGCTGCCTTGGTGCCCAAGTTCACATCCAGTGTTGGACAGCAGTGGGAACAAATGAATCTTGGAACTAGACAAAGGAGGAATAGACAAGAGCGAATTGCAAGCTTGATCTTGTTCCTTCACATGGGCAGTTCAATCACGTCAGTAGAGCTAATCATTACCATCATAGCTCTTGGACGTTTATCTTCTCTTGAGAACTGATGTAATGACATCAACCGAATATAGGCCGGTCACTAGGATTGAAACTCTGCAAGGGAAGACCATGCGGAACGTGTTAGCATAAGGGATGACTTCGGGTGATGAGTCAGTCTGGAAGCGCGCTCGAAGACGGCAAGAGTATTTTCTCCGGGCTTTGTACTGGCATCGATTGCATGGCGATGTTCAATCAGCGAACTCAACGCCAACACCCACATAGCTTATGCAGGATAATGAAAGACCAGTATGAACTTTTGTTACGGACCAGAGTCGTTTCATCGAGGTGCGCTCGTCACCAATGATGGAAGACGATGTCAGGCGGCGTGGAATTGATTCTGACGAAAGATTGGAGATCGAGTCGAAAACGGTTGCATCGTGTTATAGCATGGCAATGTGCCAGCTGCGGCCCTGTTGGTGATTAGAGTGCAATGTTTG